TCTGTGACATAACTGATAACTAAGGGAAACCAGGCCATCAGGAGTTCAGCATTCACCCTGCTCTTCTTCTGGCAGCTGAACTGGTTCGTGGAGGTTTCACTTGGGCACGCTTGCAGTGAGGGAGGGCAGCTGCAGGGCAAGAGGAGATAGGGGCCATGTGCCCTCTGATAGCTGTGCTTCTCTAAGGACACAGCCACGGTTGGGTGATGGCTCCTGGTGGAACCCTGCCAGCTGTTGGAGTGATAAGTGAACAGGATGTAAACAGCAGGGTTTCGGTCAGACAGTTCATGTGCACGGAACTCACCGTTCACTTTAAATGCCTTACATGTGAAATAATTTTTAGAAACTGATCATTGGAAAAAAGTGAAACTGACCTGAGAAAAAGTAGTCCATATAGAGTAACAATAATCCATTTTGGTGTGTGCATGAGGGAAGTACTTGGGGAGGATGAAGTCAGGAAAACAGAGATACATGTATTGAAACTGCAGATGTGGTATTTCACTGCCTGAGATTGCTTTTTTACCTTGAAATTTCATTGTTCATTTATGCTGTTGGCAGAATGCTTGCTTGTGTACTAGTGTTCCTTTTCAGTATATTCTTCAGTTGATTTAAACCTGTTTTCTTCTGAGTTTCTGTGAAGAATTTCTTTGATGTGGTGCTGCTGTCATTTTTCTGGTTCATGTTATACACACTCTGTGATGTTCATGAAATGATGCAGCTTATTACAGTTTTTCTGTAGTTTTCCATCATTTTGATTTGTGGTTTGCTATGCTGAGGGAGAGTCCACGTAGTGTTGTTGCAGATCGTGGTTTGGATGTTCATTAACCTCTGTGCTCCAGGACATTCTTCTGGTAATATTCATGGATCATCATCTTTGTGTCTGGAGTGCTGGAAAACTGGCAGTTCACTATGTCACTATGAATGAAGCCTCCCTTTACTTGCCAAGTCCTTACGCTTTTTTAGAAGATAATACTAAATCTTTCAACCGTGTTTAGGTGGCTTGTGGTAGTTTCTGGTGGGTTGGTTAGTTTGCTTGGGAGAAGGGCTTGAAGTATATGTTTGCAATGAATCAGACTTTTAAGTATTCATTTCATTCCTTCAAATTGAAAGACTGTCATCTGAAGACATTCTGTAGCTGATCTAGCGTACAAAAAGAAAGTAGGGAAAAACCATTTCCTCTGTGCAGCTCATGTAAAACTGAACCATTACTCAGACTCCTGTAATAAGCACAGGCACGCAACTATGAAAACGAGTTAAATGAAATCTATTAATATGCATACATTCATTAAGTGTTACAAAACCAGCTTTGGTAAAGAACAGTTACCTGGTGATACTGTTGCTTGCACCTTGCATTGTGAGCTTTAAATCTTGCCCAGCTGGCATTTCTTCCACAGTTTTAACTCTCAGGCTTTCAGCTGGTTCACTTTCCTACCCAGTGTCTTCTAGTAACTACTGTGGCCATGCGTTGTTTTCTGAATGAAGTTTTAGTTCAGGGCTTGATGGGCTAAAAGCTAACAATAATTATTGAAAAGATTGCTTCATACCTATTACCGTGTCATGTTTGGAGGGTTTTAAACAGACACATTGGGTTTAACTGGAGTTAACAGTTGGCAAGATACTGCCACAGAAGAAGTTTGAATTTCAAACACTATCTCATCTTAGTGTCCAAACCTCTTGACTATTAACAGTCTGTTCTGGGGCAAGGAGGTTGTGTTTCCCTTTGTGTGAGGAGTAGGGTACAAAGCTTGGTGTTAACCGAGATAGGCTAAGATATTTCTTTGAAGATGCAAGAACTGAAATGGAGAGCTGTGGTGTTAATGCTTGAAGCTGATAGTAAAGTAAAGATTTTGTTGCTCAGTGACAATGGCTGTGTTTTAGAAGTAACCAAAATTCTTGGACTACGCTTGTCAAGTGGTTTGGTCTGTGCTTTTTGAGTGAATATTTGTATACAAATATATATATAGTGAATATAATGTATACAAAAGTTTCATGGTATATTTGGTCTGTGCTTTTTGAGTGAATATTTGAATGTATACAAAAGTTTCATGGTATGTTCATATGGAACAGTATTCACTAGCAAAACTCCTGGCTGAATTTAAACAATTCATCTGTATTCCTCCTTGTCTTTGTCTTAAAATGGTTTTTTATGCTCTATTTTTTTCTGTATAGTTCTCTTGATGTTATAAAATGAGACTTTTGATCTTTGGTCAGGGACAAGGTTTTCATACTAATTTAAGGACATTTTCAGTAAAAACAGAACTGAATAGTTCATATTGTTGCTACCTGCTCTTCCTGGGCTTGGAGAGACATGTTAAAGGCACTCTGCATTTCTGTGACCTCTCGCATTTGCAATGGGTTGAGATGGTTCCTTCATCTCTCTTCTGTTTTCTCATATTTTCCACCCCCACCACCCAATCACTGATATTCCTTGTGCAAAGGCTTAAAATAGTTGGGATGGCAGTACACTACATGGATTTGTAACATTCCTGAGAAGCAAAGTACTGCAAAGCAGTGGAAATGAGGTTCTCTGTGTGTGTTACTGCCCAGAAAACATAAATGGGGAATGCAAGGGAGTTCCTGGGGACAAAAATGTCAGAGTGAATGCTGACCTTTAACTTCACTAAAAGGCAAGCTGAGTTCCATGCATTTCTTTGTGTGCTATGCAGTTAACCTCCAGGTATCCACCTTGACATTAGAATATTAGTCTTTAAAAGCTCATCAAGAAAATCTGTAAATTACAATTTATTTAAATTTTAGGACCTTAACAGTGTTTTGCATAGCATGATGCACTAGACAGATGAATGTACTGTGGAATTCGTTCAGGCAAATTACAATTTAAGGGTATGTACCATGTTGCTAATCTCTAATTACCTATGCCAGAATAGGGAGAGGAACTGCATAAAATTAACCTCTCCATTCAGAGGGATGTTCAGTGTGAGGAAGGGAAAATAGCCGCTCTTTTGTCAAAACTTTAGGGCTCAGAATGTGTGGACAGGGAGACAGAGTTAAATTGTCTCCCAGCCAGGGTCATCTTCTCACCTTTCCTGGGTTGAGGCTGTACTGTAAATCAGTCCAGTAGCTCCATTTAACTATCTGCTGACAAGTGAATGATTAACTGAAAACTATCAACCAGACAGAAGCACTACACTGCTCAACAACTGCAAAGTAAAATAGCTTTTGAATACAGATTACCTGACTAAATTATTTGCCAATGAGTTATTCTAACTGACTGAAGTTCAGAAGCATTCTGGTCTGGGGCTCACCATGAGAAGTCCTGACAAAGGCTCTTTAAAACCTCTCCGTGAATGCAGAGGCAAATACCTTGCCAGATCCAAAGGAGCAAGAGAAGGCTGTTGCTACAATGCCAGTCACCATGAGAAGTCCTGACAAAGGCTCTTTAAAACCTCTCGTGAATGCAGAGGCAAATACCATGGCAGATGCTACAATGCCAAGTCTCAATATCTAGCAGTACCTATCCAAAACCACAAAACTCCAAAATCAGGAAAGGGCAGGTTAGGATGGTAAAATTCCTCATTTCTTCCTGTGTGGACTCTGCTGAAATGGAAGCTTGTGATCCAGCTGACTTGTAGCTTGTGTAGACACAGTTACAACACACTAATGCAAACACTGACGTATTTTAAAAACTGCCAGACTGCTTCTCTGATTTGTTTTTGGAGAATGCTTGGATGACTGTCGGTGCCTGACACACGAGTGCAGTATTCTGCAGGAATACTTGTGCAGCAGCGCTGCTCAGAAACAGGATCTCCTGAATTGCTGCTCGCCAGATACTTGCCAATACCTGTGACTGTTGAAATGAGCACCGTCATGTCCCGTCAGGCCCAAATACAGCTCTTGTGAAGGCAGGCCTGCAGAACATGGAGCTTCTCCATAATCAATAGAACAGTTCCTCATCACAGCTGGTGGGGTTTTGGGGACACCCCTGTGTTACATTGCTAATACAGTGGAGTGGGCTGCAGTATTTTCACACTTGCTCATTCTCTACATGGCCTTTGAAATCCCAAGAAACATTTCAGGTATTTATAGGGAGGAAGCTAAAATGGCATAAGCTGTTAACTCGTTCTGAGTGTTACCATTTGCATTAGATATTCCCTGTCTCTTAAGCCTTCTCTGAATGTTTGAAAGCATAGCAGATCCTCTGTAAACGTGAGGCTTTAACTTAATGGGTGTGGTGGTCTTTTCTGTTAAACAGAATCCACGCTAACTCCTCTTTGTCTCACACTTTTAGATCTCGTTAACAAAATAAAGTGAGGAGTGATACTGTCATTAAAGGAGCTTTTCCCCTCCCTATAATTTATATTTTTATAACTGTTTTATGGCCTCAATTTGCTAAGGAAAACTTATCAAGTTACAGATCATTTAAGATGTCCGGTTGAATTTTAGTGGGGATGTTGAAACTTAGCCCTGAAATTTCAGAGGCTGCAGAAATAGTTCCCTAAACAGTGCTAGATATCATACAAACCCATCTCATTTTCCCTGTGTTATTGGTCCTGCCCATACAGGAGAGCTGTCATTACAGCGGCTGGCTGGTGTAATGACGGCCTTGCGGTGGATTGCGGGCACCGCTGGGCACACTGAAGAGTTAAACTGGCACCCTCGTGTGCGCAGGGGTGTTTTTAAGTTATTTTTACCAGAGCGTTGCTGTTTTTCCAGAGTTTCTGTGGGGAGCCGCCCAGCAGAAGCAGGAGCATCCCCCTAGGGGCTGGGGAGGGGAGAGGGGGCTGAAGCCTTGGGACTAGGGGAAGTGAAAACTTGCCCCTAAAACAACATATATGTTTTAAAAGGTGTTTTATTTTAGTGTGGCTGTTAGATATCTATAGGGCGGCAGGGGGAGAGGATCTGACCTCCCGTCCCGTCGTGCAGCCCGGGACAAGGCGGGCTCCGGGCGGCGCGGAGCGCTGCGCGGGCGGGCGGGCAGCCTGGCGCCGCGGGCGGGGAGGGGCGGGAGGCAGGCGAGGAGAGAGGCAGGCAGGGAGGGAAGAAGAGAAGGAGGGAGGGAAAGAGAGAGAGAGGGCGGCCGCAGCCTCCTCGCCCAGGCGGAGCCGCCTTTCCCTTTCCCTTTCCCGGCCGCCGAGCCCCGGGCGCGCTGTGCTGCGGGGGCGGGCATGGCCGCGCGGGGCGGCGGCGGCGGGAGCTGCGCCCCGACTTCCTAGAAGTCGAGGAGCCCAGAAATAGTTGCTGGCGTGAAGGCGAGAGAAGCTCGGTTTCGATCCCGAGGTCCTCGCGGTGCGGTGAAGCCGCTGGCTGCGCCCGTGAGGAGGAGGGAGGGGAGGAAGAGCAGCAGGAGGAGGAGGAGGAGGAGGAGGTAGGTGCGGGTCCGTGGTACCCAGGGAGGGGAACCGGGGCGGCCTCTGCGCGGTCGTTCTCGTCCTTCTCCGAGCGGTGTCCGAAGAGCAGCACTGAAGCGTCTTAGGCAACGCCGCTTTGTCGAAATTCAGGTACCCTTGAGGAATTTAATTTTGTGGAGGTTAATTAAAAGGATGTTGTAAAGTATTATGGCTAAAGCTCTTTTGACAGCTCGTCTTTTTTTTTTTTTTTTTCTGTGTGTATTTATGTGAGTTTTCCTCCTCTAGCAGCTCACAAAGGTGTAACTGCTGCTTTAAACGTGCAGTAGTTTAGTAGTTTTGCAGGATGGAATGCAACTTTCTTGTTCCCCATTAAACACAGGATACGTTGTCATGCGGGTAGTGCATTTCATGACAGGCAGTGTCACCTGGATGCCCTTACAGTTCTTCTTGCAATGAAGATTTCTGTGAATATCACTTGCTGCAGTGTCCTTGTAGCTAAGGTTTGTTTATAACTTCTTTCAGACATTCAAAGTGGTTTTATAGACACACACAGAATGAGACTGTATTTTTAAGGCTTGGTGTTACTCTATTTTGGATTCTTCTAACATTAGTGTTGTTTCAGTCTCAGTGTCTAAATATAGTTCTGACCTTTTTTTTTTCCTTCACCTGCACATCAGTCTCTTCAATGACTGTAATATGAACTAATGGTAAAAACAGAAGCTGCATATGGGGGAGTATTTTCCTGAAGGCTTTATGATACTTTAGATTTCAGGAAAAATTGTTACTAGCTTTTGGAAAGCATTTTGGAAAGTTCAGTGTTGTTAAGGTAGTCTCCGTGCATGGTATTTCTCATAACATAAAGATAGAAAACGGACCTATTTCTTAAAAGATACTTTGAGATTCTTGTTTAGATAAGAAAGGCAGCACAATTGATTTGCCCATGTCAGATGGTTGTTGGCTGTTTTAAAAACCTTGGCAAAGCTGAAGAAGTAGGCACTAGTGGTTACATGATAATGTAACATAATAATAATAACAACATAATGTGTTAAAATTGCTTTCCAGCTTCAAATTCCCACCTGTGATGTAAATTACAGCCTCACCACATCTGATGCTGTTGCACCAAGTTCTGTTTTCTGTACATAAGCCACTAATCTGTGAATCCTTATGAACTGAACCTTCTCATTCTTGTGCAGCACAGAAATATGTGAGAGTTCAGTGTGTGCTCTCACCTGTGGGAGCCTGTAAACTGTCCCTGAAGAATGGACATGGAATACTTGCTGTGGTTGCACTGATGTAACATGATGAATCAACTGGTGGTGAACTGGACAGTTGGTATATTGCTAAAGGGTCTTTCTCCTGGTTGTTTTTTGTATTGCAGTGTTGAAGTTGTTGCCTTTCATTATCTAACAGCTTTATGGTTCTAGGCAGCCATCAATTCTGTAAAGCCCAAACTTCAAAAGTGTGATTTCTGGATTGTGGCCTGTAACTTGGATTTGCATATTTCATTATGTTATTATCCAGCTATATTCTGTTATATGGATTTTACCTTTTGCTGATTACAGTACATAAGACCCTGGAACTCTCTCCATGTTCCATGCATTAGCAGTAATGTCCATCTTAAACAGTTTGGAATTTCTGTATTTATGTAGTGAAACCGAGGGAGAGCCACTGGTGACTTCTGTTGAAGGTCATGTAAAAACATGTCCAGTATATCTGGAATTGAAATGTGGTGTTCTCTCGTTTAATTTTCATCCAGAGGGGTAAAATGAGGCTGGATTGTTTGCCTGGTGTTTACTGAAGTCTGACTGCCCTCTTATGTAGAGCTGACTATGTTGCAGGTGGCTGCTGTCAGCTGTCTGTAAGAGCTCTTCAAAGTAGTTTATGGTGCTGCAACTCTTGAGCTGTGCTATCCTTAGGCATCTACATTTAAAATTTAATTGGACCCAGTGTACAGGCAGACTGAGAAAGCACACCAAGAAATGTGCAGGTAGAAAGTGTAATACAAACTGGATTTTTAAAATATACTCTGTGTAAGTTGTACCATCTGAGACACATAGTGATCCATGTGGGTACTTTGGACACCGGCTAAAGCTGGAATTAATATGGAGATGTGATTAAAGGACAACTGCCTCTTACTGGCAGTATTTGTTCTTAAGACCTGTTTTATTACTCAGGGTTTGCTTACCACAGCAGAGAACCTGTGTTCTGTCATGTAATAAATATGAATGCAAATAGGTCTAATCCAAGCCACGAATCTTGTTATATGCCAGTTAAGAGTAATTTACTGGAGCTTCTTTTTGGAGGTGGGGCAGAAGTGATGTTCTTGGGTGCAGTACAGTCGTGGGAAGGTAATGTTTGCCTGACTTCTCCAAAGTAAATTTGATAGAGACAGAAAGAGGGTAATTAGTTATTTCATTCCTTTGATTGTGTTTTCACTTGTAGTCCTTTCCTTTAACTAGAAAGATTCAGTTGAATTGGACTTTGCCCATGTTGCTGCAGAGGAGTGGTGCTACTAGAAATTTTTAAAACTGCTAGGTAGTGGGTGGATGTGTAAACAGGGAGCAGGCTTTTTCCTTTATACTAGTGGCTCAATTCTCAACTCTCTGAAATTGTACTCTAGAAGGGAGTGTGGAGATAAGCCAGGGATTGACTAGAGTATTTTGGTTAGTGCTCTGTTTTTTTAATTCAGGTGAAGTCTTGCTAGAGGTCTGCCCTGGTGTCTAGTGTTGCTGTATTAAAAATTGTATGTAATGTGATATTTAAAAGGATGTATTTTTGTGAGTGAAACCTGTTTTCTCCAGAACCTTGTTATTGAACAGCTTCTGGCCATCTCTCTGTTTTTAGAGATTAGCAGTCTGTGTTTTGCCTTTGACTTTTTATGAACCATTTGACTTCATGTACAGGGCCTCATCCTGTATTTCTATTGCATTGGATTCTGAGTATCTTGTCTCCCATTTCCTCTGTGTCAGCTGCTGTCTGGTAACAAGAATGGGACACTATTTCTCCATAGAGAGGTTGAGAAAAAGTTGACTTTCTGGGTTTTCTACAAGATTGTGTAAGGCCCAGTGATATGTTGAGCCATTATCAGTGTATTTGTGGAGAAGACTGAGGAAGTGATGAAAAGCATGCCAAAGTTGATACTTTCTCTGAAGTTAGAAGAAATTGGGTAGTGTTTGTAGTGAATAATCAGAGTGCCTCCTGTGCCTTGCTTTCAGTTTCTTTATATGCAGGTTCCTTCTGTAGTTGGAATCACAGGTGAGATTTTCAGCAGCTGGTTTAATGGTGGCTCAGTCCCAAATTAAGTCCTTCAGGGCAGATGATTCGTGTATAGGGAAGTGCCTATACGCTGTTCCAATGTTCTGTTCCAGTGGATATGGGTCCTGGTGACGCCTCCAAACGTGCTTGCAGGGAGAGTCTCTGGGGGGTTTTGTCAGTTCTTGTCTCTGCTTCCCTTGTCTTACTCAAAGAGTGAGTGTGATTTGTCCGGGCCTTAGAGGTATTTAAAGCAATGTGGCAGCAGCTGGAGAGGCACCAGGTTAGTGCACAACTACCTGATCTAGTCTTGAACATTCTAGGCAGAAGTTGAAGCATGAGCACCCAGAAAAAGGATCTTTTGATTATACAGTGATACCATCTTTAGGCCATTATCATTTTAAAAAGAAGAGAAAATGTTTCAGTCCAGCATACAATAGTCTGATTAAACTTCAGAAATCTTTTATAATACAGTTCCCTTATGTAGAAGAGAGTAAAAGGATGCCACATGCTGCTAAACTATGTCATATTTGCCTGTTGCATGCAGCTATGAGAAAGCTGCACTGAAGATTTGATAGTCAGGCATTCATTTGTGGGTGTAGTACCTTTGTGTATGCTCTCATGGTGTCAGGGTTCTGCTATCGCCATGCTCTTGCTTTACTGCAGGCAAGGGTCAGCCTGAAAATTGATGTTGTTGTGGCTTCCTGCAGGAAACGGTGAAAATACTGCTGGCTCCTGGACAGCCCCCATGGAGAGAATGGACAGTGTAACTGTTGATAGGCTTGAAACTGTGCCAGGAGGACTGGTGACTTCTGATCTACTCTAACTTTTTCTGTGTTTTCTCCTCTTCCAAGCCTCCATAAGCCTGTTAAGTTTTAGCTGTTTCTGGACAACACTGGTCTCAGCATAAATCTGTCTTGCAGGTTATCTACATTATCTGCATCTTTCACTGGTGTCCAATTTTGATTTGAGGAGACTTACTTTGATATGTGGTTTTCTGAAATTCTCTTCCTCTTTGATTTGCTATCAAAGTTGAGCCAAGGGGCTGCTTGTTTTTAGTTCCAGGAAATGCTGTAACCAGTGGTAGAAACTTCTCTGCTGACAGTGTCTGTTAAACTCATTCATATCTGGCATCCTTCAAAATGCTGCAGTTTCCACTTTTGAAGTTGTGGATAAAAATGCCTCTGCTGTTTCCTCTCCATTATTACTTCATGTAGTTATCACAGCATTAGTGATTTTACCTTCTATTTAAACTACGGCTCTGCTCCTAACTGCAGCATGGTAAAGATTAAGGCAAGTCTGTCCCTATTTCTGTAGTCAGACCTACAGTTCAGATGTAAGAAGCTCTCAAGAGCTGATATGCTCGAGGCAAATAGAAATTGAAAGAAAGCTCTGATCCGCTGGAGCTTAGTGGCAAAGTGAAAATGCAGTTCTTCCAAGTTTGTCAGTTCAGCTTAGTGTTGGTGACCCAGGCACGGCTCAGAGGAGCTGCCTCAGGGAAAGAAAATAATCACAGCCAGTGATCTTCCAGGCAGCTTAAAGAACGAAATGTGAACATTACAGTTTTGGTTTCTCAGATGATTTATTCTTCATCTCCCCAGTAAGATGAATAAACTCTTCCTGAATTAATCTGGTTGACACTTCCTCCTTTTGTTTTTCAGAGATCTTTCAACTTCAGATATGAAATAAAGCTCAGTCTTCCAAGACTACAGCTTTTAATCCATACGGCTCCTGTACTGGCATTTAAAGCTCTGACACTAAAAATAAAAAACTGAAGGGATCAGAGAAATACAGCCTGTATTGTGAAAATGAGTACAGGCATCTTGGAAGCCTTTGTAACAAACGTTGATTTACAAGAGGAGAAGGACAGTGAGTGATATTAATCAGGGAACACCTAATCCATTTTAAAGCTTTGTTTTTCTGTGATGAGCACTAAGACAGATAAAACACAGGGGCTTATGCTCAGTTCCTGATACTGCACCTCAAAGTAGATAAAGATTGACACAAGTGCTTAGTAAAGTCTAAGCTTAGTGAAACACTTACTGGAAGTGGTGCCTGTTGACTGTTTTAGTGGACCTCTTATGATGGGGAAGAGCTCAGTTAACCTTTACATCTCAATTTTAGTGTGTGGCAATGGGAAAACACTCTTAATCTCATGCTGGTATAAAATTGTGGAAGGTGTGCCTTGTAACAAAGCTTTTAACAGTAGCTTTCCAAAGGAAAAGAGAAACCAATTTGAAACCCATGGTCTGTGTAACTGTGTTGAATGAACTGTGTTCTAGTCAAATAAAGGTGGGGGAGAAGCTTAACCCTGCTCAACACTGTAATTACCTAATTGGTGAAGTAGGGAACAATCAAATTAGGGTAAATGCAGTTGTAGCTAAAAAAAATTTCTAAATATCTTGCAGTATGGATGATCTGTCACTTAGCTGTGATTATAGTGGTTGTAAACATTCATTTTTGTTCAAGTCATCAGATAGATCTTTGAAAATTAACTTAATTTTAAATGGCAGAAAGAGAAATAACAACACGAAGTTTGATGATCTGGCTTTTGAGAGCAAGAAAAATAGTGAGTTGACTGACTGAGACTAGTTGGGTATCAAGAACAAATCTTTTCACTGGATTCCAGGAGCTTTGGCCTTTGTGCCAATATAAATATGGGTGTCTCTCTAATAGCAGAATTGCATGGGATTAGTTTGTGCTTTTTGGAAATTTATGATATGAAATATTGAGTTGACTTTTATACTTCCCTGTTTTAAGAAAATAGGGAGTTAGTGTTGAACTGGGCACTCCTTTTTCCTCTGGCTATTTTGAAGAGAACTGAGGTCTCCCTCTTTCTAAGCCACTTTTCTCATGTTTGTAAGTTGATCAGACACATCTTGTTCTAAAGCTGTGCTGCATTCAGTGAAGCTGTTCAGATGGCTGTGCTGTGCAGGCCTAAACAGAGGTGTATGCAGATTTAATTTTGGCTGCTCCTAAGCACTGCTGAAGTTTCTGTTGTTATCAGTGGGGTCCAATAAATAATGTGCTTGTTCTCAGGGCAGGTGTGGAGAATGCTGTCCTTCTGTGAGTGAAGAGGCATCTAGTTGACACTAAGCTTTCTGCCTTTTTGATGGCTTTATTCTCAGTCTCTTGTGTTGTGCCCTTCCCACATTCTGCAAGGAAACTTAACTGTTCCACTGAAGGGAAAGGGTGACCTTACACCCTGTGTTCTGCCAAACACAAAATATGCCTGGTAAGAGGAAGGAGGGGCAGAGAAGGTAAATATTCAGACAGACACATGATGATGCCTGTGTCCCTCTCTAAAATTCACATGAAAAATTAGTTTTTCTCGTGTCGTCTTTCATCTCTGATGTGACATTTAAATGCACACAGCATGTTCTGACAAACCTGAAGTGCCCTCTGGTAGAGGCTCATGCAGTTGAAAACCTTTGGCATTGAAATAAATTGTTCTGAATGTACAAGTTGGTGGCATTTCTCAGATGTCTGACTCCAGTTTGTCATCTTCAATTATTTCTTCATGCCCTTTGTTCCTACAAAGTATTCTCTGTAGTGGGCCCAAATCTGTTTCCAGTATGTCTACACAGCTCAGTGATTTTTTGGATGCACTATGTCCTTGGAGAATGTGAGTGATTTCAGTGAAACAACAAAGAGCTACAAGCATGAAAGTTTACAAAATAGCCGTGATTGTGGCTTTATATGTGCATTATATATTAATGTGTATTTCCTGCCAGCAAAAGTTCTTGTCACACAGGTTTTCAGCAATGTGAGTTAAGAGCTCTTGTACTTAAATTTTCCTTCTTTGTTCACTTTAGGATAACATGATGGAGTTCAGATTTTCTGAAGAAAAGCTGCGGATCTTGGAGCAGTACCGTTGACGAGACCTCCTGATTGCAGCACCCAGAGCGGGGTCCTGTAACGAATTTGTCCCAAGAAACGTACAATGGATCTCAAGGAGAGCTGCCCAAGCGTTAGCATTCCCAGCTCTGATGAACACAGAGAGAAGAAAAAGAGATTTACTGTAAGTATGTAGGAGAGTGAGCACTGTGGGCAAAGGCATAGGCTATTGGTGCCTAGCAGTGCTGCTTCCTTTTCTTCTGCCACTAAGCTTCGTATAATTTTCAATAGGTTTATGGAAATCAGTTTCCTTGCTCTTGTGAGCACTGGCCATAGTCCAGTGTGAAAAGTTGTGAATATTTTAGTGTTTACCTGTGTTGCTTTCTGCAAAAAGAACTTGCCTTTACAAAATTCTGCTGATTTTTCCACAAAATAGCTGCATTTGCTTGTATAAAATATTTAGGTATGCAAGTACAGGGAAAATATTCTGATACCATTTTTGGCATTCTACATGCTTTTTCATGAAGACATTTATTTTGTAAAGAGCTAAAGTGTGAATTTGTGGAGGTTGTTTGTTTGTTTAACATTCATTCTTTCACATATCTTATTATACTATTGTAAATTGTTTGTGTCAAATGAAAAAAAATATAAACCATCAAATTTTTTCAAAACCTTTTTTCTGTCTGCCTTCCTGTTTCTGATTCTAATGCTTATGAGTTTTTTCCCATCCTGTTCCCATTTCCACTTCTTGTCATTTCTCTCCCTCTTCCTTTCTTTACCTTCTAGTTTGACTTTCTGGTTGTGAAGTTGTCCTATTGTGAGGGTAATTCTTTGCATTGCATACTGAAAAATAAAGTAGTGTGGTATGGATTTTTGTTTGGCTTCTATATAACCCTAAATGACAAGATCAAAATACTTCCTTTAGAAGGCTCAAACTGTTTCGTTGCTCTTGTGCAACTTCCTGTAAGATTTTTTTTTTTCATTGAGTGAGTTAGTCACTCTTCAAATGAGGAATGCAAACACTGTGGAAACAATATGGAGTTGCTGTCTGAAGAACACAACAAAACAATGTTTTACTAGGAGTTATGTTGTCTCCTGTTCCTCTTCACCTCCCTTTTTTGGAGAAGAACAGTGCTCTTTGATTGTACAAGTGCGTCAAGATGTAGCTGGGGGAAGGAGTGTGCTAGTAAAGGGAACTTTAAACAAAAGAGAGCTTTGCTAATTCCTTAAACCTCTGCATTCATGTGAAACTCAGGTCAGCAGGAAAACCTTTTTGAAAGTCTAAACTTGAGCAGAACAGTTCTGTTTTGTTGCCTCAGTGCTGGCAGTTCTGCAGTTAAAATATGCCAGCATGGTACATTGAGCATGTACTGATGTTGTGGTGTCCAGGTCATTTTACCTGAAGGTCTGTGAGACAGCCTGGGCAGTGTAAGGCCACTTTTTTGGGTGTGCCCTTGAGAAGGCAGTATGAAGCATCAGAAATGGGGGGCAGAGAGAGGAGGGGGGAAAGAATCCAGCCTAGATTACACTGTGCAGAGGTACACTTTTGTCCTGCTGTCTTCTGCTTTCTGTGCCAGGGAGTAATTAGCAGCTTGACAAGAAGTGCTTTCACAACCAAGCTTTCGAATATTATCACATATATTTTAGGATTTGGTAACAGAAGTGAGGGTCATACTAAACTTCTTTGTAGAAACTGTGAATTCCAGCATGTGTCAGTGCTGTCGTGGTGTCCCCTCTTCTGTAGCTGTGTGTAATGACAGGATCCCATCAGTACTTGACAGGGAGTGAAATAGGGGTACAGGGGGAAGCAGCTCTTAGCAAATTTGTGGTAGGTATAGCTGTCTCTTTTGATGGCCACATTAGTGCCATGTCTATAGAGAGCAGTAAGAAGGGTTTTCACTTGGGCTGAAAAGAAAGGTCAGAGTGATAAAGCCTAGGAAATATTTCAGGTGACTGTATAGACTTTGTAGTCTTCACCTTACCATCGCTCACAGTGTTTCACTGCTGCTTCTGAGACTCTTCTAGAATCTTACTGGTCTGAACAGAAACTGATTTTCAGCTCAAACCTTTTGATGGCTCACTTAATGCTGGCATGGAAACAAGACAAGTGTGTGCAACTTAGCTTTTGCTAGCTCTACTTTTTCTCCTCACTTTGATAAAGCATTTTTAAAAACAATCATGTCTCTGAGCAGGCATCTTTCTCATAATTAAGTGAGCTTTTCAGTTTTGTCTCTGAAAGTGAACTTCTCATTCCTCCTGAGCATTTTCATGACCTTTTATTGAATATTTGATTTGGTTTTGTTAAATACTGCATACTTTTGATATATTTACTACCGGTTTATTTATTTCTTTTTTTCAAATTATTATATGTTTGCATTTTTTGGGTTCTGGCAGGGAACTTCTTTTGCTGCCACTTAATTCATGGCAACCAGCTTCTGTGTAAATCCACATTAGTTCACTGTCCCTCATTTTTCTGAAGATTCAGCATTCACTTTGTCCATAAAAGGAGTAAAGTATTTCCTTGTTTTGGACCATATCTAGCCTATATTAATTGCTTTCTGTCCTTGCTACATATTAGGTCATTCTTTTGCCTGTTTTGACAAATAGCTTTGTTTTGGGTTTCTCACTTTTATCCCTATGCTGTTTGATGTCTGAGGCTTAATTTTCTCTTCTGACCTGTTCTCATCTCCCTTTACACCCAGATCATATACAGGCTTATTAAAAAATCTCTTTCAAGGGTGCTGTTTGTCTGATTAAATCTGAAAACTTTGTCTTAGACTTGTGATGTATAATGTTATTCCTCAGCCCTGTGGAAATTGGAAGTTGAGTTTTTTCTATTTGTTGACAATAAATAATTTCCTTACTTTCTCAATGATTGCTCTGTCAAAATTAGAAAACAGCCTATCTTTTAATTTTTCTTTGTTTAATAAAAATCAAGCATTTAATCTAGGAGCATGAGCTACCACAGAGTTGAAGGCTTTTAATTTCAGTGACTTTTATGTGAAGACATCCTACTGCATCCAAAAATAGCTGGATCCTGTCCTATCTGTATCTAGGAAGACATTTTATGGTGTTATTTTCAGGAATTGTGTTTATTTTTCTGCTTTTTTGTTTTTCTCAAAGCTTTGTGGTTTTTACCCACATACTATGAGTTGTGATGCATCATATCTATGTTTAAGGAATTTTCTAAGAGCAAATTTGGATTAGGAATAATTAGACTTGAAAAGGCAAGTCTACATTCCTCCCCCCCACAGCTTTCTTGAAATAAGCATTGCACGTCTCTCTAATCTTTACATAGGTGTAGCTGAGAGTAGTAAGACAGCCCTGACATGTCATGGTTTTAGGTTTTACCAGATTCTTAGTGGATATTGTGTGTTTTCTCACCCCTCAGTGTGTCCATAACTGTTGGACTTGCAGCTGTTCCTTGGTTGGGGAGTGCAAGAGCTTTGTTAGTGGTGTGAACTGGATGACCTCATAGGGATTTTTTATGCTTTCTTGTGTAAAAAATGTTGATTGTGTCATTGATCAACAGCTACTCTGAGAACAAAACTGTTTAAATTTAGCGGTTGCCAAGGAGGTGGATATCATCTGGTATCCTGAGTTATGGCTGCCTGTGCACTCTGCTGTCTGTGCTTCTGCCCAGATACCTTGGGCCTCTGCTCAAGTGTGTTGGCATTGATGTGCTGTGCAGTCATGGGAGCAGAGGTGTTTTGTGTTTGAACATCGGTTGCAGGATTTGATTGCTGTATAAGAGATCACAAGGACAGTACTTAATTTTGCAGCTAAAGCTTTTGCTGCCTACAGCATAGGGAGGCTCTGGAAGGGGAGTGGGTAGGTTTTATGCTAACACTTGCTTAGCAGTATGAGGCAAAGTGGATTTTCTTAGAAGGTCTCGTCAGCATTCTGCTGGATGCTTCCATGCAGCTTCCTGTGCTCCCCAGGGCTGGGGACTGAGAACAGCTTGTGTGAGCACTTAGCACAGCCTGGCTGCAGCCCTCAGGCTGAGGAACCATGGTGGTGGCTGCCACTTCCACTGTGGGGGTTAGAGAGAGAGCCAGGCTGCTGTTGCAGGGCACAAGGGAGGCTGGGGCATTGGTCCAGTAGTCTGCAATGGGAATTAGCAGTGTTCTGCACTCATTTCCTTGCTGTGCCCATGCTCTTCCCTGAAGGAATAGCTGAGCTCCTTCTGGAAGTACAAGAAAGTAGAGAAGTGAAGACAGCTAATTGCCTGAGAGACAGGAGAAGCCTGCTGGATGCACAGCTGCCAGCCATGTTTATAAATCCAGGGACTGACAATCGGTCTAGTTGCTGAAGTCCTCTGTAATGTGGCATTTGAAAGGCCTGAAGTGTGCAGCAGGTTCCAGCTATAGCTCCTTTCATGGCAGTGTGTTATGTTGTATAGCCTGTATTTCTGCCACAGCACCACTTCTTCCTCCCTGAACAATTGTGCCATCAGCCAGGCTTCTTCTGGATTCAAGGTGTTCAAATGAACAGTTGTCTTCATACCTTCCATATGTACTTTCTCTTTAGGTTTTGGTGAAGGCAGTCTTCAGTATTTTTAAATGCTTTGCTTCTTTAATATTTGTCTTTATTATGGATTATTGAGTTGTTAACAAATTTCATATTAAATTTTAATAAACTACTACCTGATGGCCAGGTGTTCTTTTTGGATATTAACTGATTTATGAAACTGCACTAAATCAATTGTAGTGTCAGTTTTTGCTTACCTGGTATTTAAAAAAAATTTCTGCAAAGTATCAGATTCTTTTAGTTCTTTTAATCATTTCTGTTATGTTTGTGTGACTTAGCTACAAGAAATACATGGTTCAATAAGTGCACTTACACAATAAATTTAACATCCTGCCCTTACTTTCACCAGGAGATTAAACCTGAGAAGTTTTACTAAGCTTTGTGGGCAATAACGCTGTCCTTGTTCCCACAGGTTTACAAAGTGTTGGTCTCTGTTGGCAGAAATGAGTGGTTTGTCTTTCGACGGTATGCAGAGTTTGATAAACTCTACAATACGGTAAGCAAAAAGCAAGCTATGGAATCATGCCAGAATAGCAGAGTAATGCTTGCAGTGTTATGGTTTGAGTTAATCCTCTCTTGAGGAGTTTGAGTCAACATTTAATAACCATAGGAGTCTAATTAAAGAAGATGATGGAGTGGGTTTTTTAAACTTTGGTTTGTTTGAATTTCAGACTCAAAATCCACTTATTTGTCACATTTTTTATAGTTCCTTGGGATCATAGCTTAATGAAACTTCTAGCTTAGTTGTTGTCAGAACATATAAAATGTGCTTTTGTTCATGATAAAAAACCCTGCAAAACATCTAGATAGCTATGTTCCTCCTAAGTAAGTGTTTTTCTTTGAAGTACTGAAAGCAATGAACAAATCCTTGTTTCTTAGTAGAAACTTTGTAGTCAGTCATTGGTGGCAGTTTCATAGCAGGTGTGATTTTTTTGTGCAAAAAAATGTGGTGAGTGTTCCAAAAAAATAGCCCACTTCAGCAACTGAGTATGGATTTCTTGGGTTTGTTACTAGAAGAGGGTTTTGCTGTTTTTACGTAGTGGGCAGTTGGGATAAATACTTTTTCAGATGTGAGTATGAGTTTTGTGTGCTGTGTCCATACTTTCCTCCAGTTCTTCATGTTTAGAGACCATAATTTTTGCTTTAACAAAAGAGGAAATAATTCCCCTCTGATTCCCATATTACCAGCTGCTTATTTGTGCCTTCCCTTCCACTGTCTCTCTGGGAAGCAGTCAGGCCTTCTCTCTTCTGCCCACCTGTGCATGGATTTGCATGTGGCAGTGGTCTTTAAATATGGGCTGTGAGCTAGGAAGTGTTTGAGCTGAAATGCCCCTAGATACCCCATACTGTGTTTTGCCTGCATCTTGCAGGGATAAACCCGTAAAGGATGTGAAAACAGAAAATCCTCATTTCAGAAGGAGTGTTGGTGATCCTGTTCCTTTGCCACGTTCTCTTGCCATTAGAATTGGCCTTGCTCTGCTGAAGTTTGTTCAGCCCTGGTCTGTCTAACATGGGCAGGCATAAGGTCCTGGGGAAGCGTAACCAGGAGGACATTTACTCCAGTTTCTGTTCAGAAATTCATACAATATATACACCAAAAAGAACTTGTGCTGCTAACTGGAAGAAATACTGGTGTTGCTAAGGGAAGAATTGCCAGCTAATGTATTAGAAAACTACTCTCTTAAAAGGGATGAGAGAAAGATTGCTCTTCTGGAGCACTTGAAGGGGAAGTAAATGTTGTTGAGGCTTGATTAGTGCCAGGTTTGGGGGTTTTTTTAATATATAATTCACTGTTGTTGTGTACAATCTTCTGGTCAGTTTATCAAGTGTAATAATAATTGAATTATCAAGTGCAGGATCCAAAAATAGACTGTTCATCTGCTTGTAATTTTGATGTAGGGGTAGACCACCTGTGATTTCTAAAGCTTAAAGAATGTAATTTGGACAAAACCCAGATGCCTGTATCCCATTGTAAACCTCATGCATACAGCCCTGTGCAAGCAAGCAAATAAGAGAAAAACAAACCCAAAGAGATAAAGAATTGATGGAGGAAGGAAGAAAAAGGAAAACAAAAATAACACTGAAATTTGGTTTTATAACCTGGGGCAAATAATTTTGCACTGTTGCTCTGGTAGTCTGTAAAATGAAGTTGAAATGGCCTTTGAATTTAAAAGGGTATGTCTATTGCAAACAAACTGAGTACAGATTGTTCTGGGTATGTTTTTTTCCCCCATGGTATGAGCAGAGGAAATGGCATAGCGGAGCTGAATTACTAATAATCAGGTGTTCAAACTGTTCATCAGAAAACAAACAAAATGCAATTATTTCTAGGTACTTTAATGTCTAAGCACAATCCAATTTTATGTGTTTTGTTTTCAGCTAAAGAAGCAATTTCCCACCATGAACCTGAAGATTCCAGCTAAAAGAATATTTGGAGATAATTTTGATCCTGGTATGTCATCATCTTGTTATTCATTTTGTCAGTTGCTTTATATGAAAATTGATCTATTCCAGCCTACAAGAAGCTGTCTTATATGAGTTTTGCAGCGGTCCTCAAAACAGTGACTAAACCAAAGTTTAGTCATGCTTCAGTCAAGAGCAGGAACTAGCGTGGGTAGGTGTTTTACCTTGTGATAGTGAACAAAGCATTGCTTGGTCGCCCAGTGCCTCTCTTGCACTGAAGGCTGTAGCTCCTCCCAGCCCTCCCATATTCAGGATTCTCATTCTGAACTGTCAGATGTGATCCCTCTCCTAAAAAGCAAAAGCCAAACCCCAAACTCTTCCTAAACATTATGCGTAGTCCATTTTGAACTTTCTTTTTGTTACATGCCTCACAGCCATCTCTGAAAAATGAAATAACTCAAGGATTTATCTTTGAGGACTTTTGACCTCTCTGTATCTGAATGTGCTTCCTTGTACAGTTCAGGTGAAAAGGAACTTCTTCTGTAAGTGGAACAACAACAGGAGGTGTGTCCGATGTGAACGTGTTGTGCTCCACTTAACCAGTGATGGGTGGCCATGTAGCTTGCTCTGTACACAGTGAAATACTAATGAAAGTCACTTGAAAATTCCCTTGAAGTAACCTGGGTGGCACCATGGATTAATTAATAAAAAGGCAAATGGGAAGGCCAGGCTTTGTGTGTTTGTACTGTTCATTCAAGCCATTTTTGCTTCAGGCTTTTCCCGCTGCTCTTGGACCCCTCCCGCCCTCCCCTGTCTTGCTGATGTGGTCAGACTGCAGTTTCATCTCCTCCTGCACCTGTTTCAATTGCTCATTTTCTCCTTTGCTGAGGAACAAATTGATCCAAAGCTGTTGAACTCTTAGGATGTATATGTTTGGGTTTTTTAAAGTTCTGACAAACAAACCTAGTTTTTGGCAGTTGCAGTTAATCATCTGGATCCTGATGTGAAATACTGTTTTATTTTTCATTAGAATAATCAAATACAAGTATCCAAGCTCTGATGTTCTCTTCTGATAAAGATGTAAATGCTTGCCAAAAGTTCTACATGTGTTTTGTCTACAGGGACTTTTTGTTTAGTTCTGGTTCCTTTTCTCTGACCTTGGGATTCTCAGAGCTGGCTGAAGACCAGAGAATGCCATGCAGTCTGGTTTGCCGTACAGGCAAATATGCAGGTGGATTTCTTGGAGCCAAATTTAGGAAACTGGAGTTTTAATGGGGAAAAAAACCTCAACTAAAACTTTATTAAAATTATATATGTAAAACAAAGTCCTCAAACTTGTTTTAAATTTCCGTGAACTACACTGAAATCCTTGAAGCATGAGAAACCAAATAGTTCTCAAGATGTCTCTTGCTGGGAGGCAGGGTGGAGATGGAGCCATGATGCTTATGTAAATAATTCTTTTTCTTAACACTGATTTATTGAAGCTTTGATGTAATGTTTCTGCTGGCTCCTGAAACATGCTACATATTTTACAAGTACTGAAAAGGTATTTTACTTCGGTAATCTGTCCATGGGTATGCAGCATTGTACTATTGCATTGAAATGCAGCAGAGTGAGACCTTTGCATCCTTTTACCCAAAACTACCAAAAATACTGTCATTTAAATTGCCATTTAAATGCTCCAATTTTATTGGCACCTAGGTTATTCTAAAATTAATGTTGCTTTAACTCGAAAAAAATGGAACAGAAACCAGTCAGAATATAGAACCTGAAAATTTCAGATGTTACAGGTGTTTTATGTTCACCAGCATGGATAGCCCTGTAGGCTTAGAGTGACTGATGACACTGTACATCTGCCACACTGCTGATGTTGTTCGCTCCCATAATAGAACATCTGTATGCAAATTTACCTTTCTCTTAGATGTCAGTAATTTGGGATTATTAAATACCCTAGGAAGGGTTCAGGGATTATATCCCTGAAACAATATGGATGTTTTTCTTATTATTTTAGGTACAGCTGTTATTTAAAACTTAATTTTAATTAAAATTTTTAATAATTGTCTGTAATCTGGATATGACAGTCATTGAAATGCCTTAAAAGTTAGTGCTGGAATTAAATATTCCTTTTTCCATACAAATTATTGTTGATATGAGTAATGAAAGATAGGATTATTCCATTTTACGCTTTATTTTATGTTAGAACTCTATTTCTATTCTAAATCCTTTCTGTGTCTTTCCTTGTTGCTACAGAATAGCTACATGTCTTAAGCTTTAGACAAGGGAAGGGATTCTGAGGATTATCTTTTTTTAATGTTGGAGATGATGTCCAAAATCTAAAGGAAAGTATTTTATTTTGTTATCTCTGATGGCTTTATCTGAGTGCCTGCTGGCAGGATGAATTGTGCAATTTTCCCCCTGCCATACATATATTATGGAAATATGCTGCTTGGTGGGACTGTTCATGTAAAAACTTGACTTGTGCAACTGATGTCAGGTTTTGCCTGTGGCTTCTTGGGGTTTTGTTTCTGTGGAATCAGGTGCTGAGGGGCTCACCCGTGCAGCGAAGGCTGCACAGGTTAGCCCGCTGCGGTTACACACTGTTCTTGAAGCACAGGGTGGCTCTTCTAATCCACCTGGCTTTCAACATTTTTAAGTAGTGTTACAGAGAGACTGAAATTTATTCTGTCAGCTCAGTTCAATGTTTCAAGCTTGCAGTTTTCATATGTAGAACCAATCCTGTTCTAAATCAGTCTTGGGCCAGTCTCCTTTTAACTGCTGTTTTAAATCCTCAAAAACCTGAATAAGAAAATAAGTCTTTTTCACAAGCTGACTGATGATTCTAATAAATCTGTTTTTTCCAGATTTTATTAAACAGAGAAGAGCAGGACTGAATGAATTCATTCAAAATTTAGTTAGACAGCCAGAGCTATGCAACCAGTAAGTAGTTTCATTTCTGTTTTATAAGGGCTGTTGAAAAGACATGAGATGAAAAGATATGTTAAATACAAAATTGCAAATTAGGTATTTAACCAGAAAATGTATTTTACCTGTTCAGAGCTCTTCAGTATGAAAAGAAAAAACTTTATATGGCCATCCATTCAGGAAAAACTACAGACTGAAGAGTATAAAAGTGTTTTTGTTTTCTGAAAACCAACCTACAAATCAATTTGCAGGCAATTAACTGATCTTAATTCCAGGGGTGCAGATTCCACTGTAAACTGCTGCTGTGCTGGGCAGGTGTTTGTTTTGCCAGTGGCTGTACTGTTTGAGGGCCCTGCTGTCACTTGCTGCTGTGTGGCTGGCAGTCAGTCACTGCCTGCATCCTTTTTTTGTTACGAGCAGTTCATGTGTGCTCCAGGCCTTGTTTAAAGCACGGTAACCAAGTGGCTTAATTGACTTGCTGAGATGGTTTGGGATAACCAAGCTGAGCTGCCTAAAGGAAACGATGGATAAGTTTGTTCCTAACTCTTCCCTGAAGAACTGCAGGTGTGTTCACCAGTACCAGTGGCGAATGGGAGGTGGTGTTAGGACAGAGGCAGCTCCAGTTAAATCTGGAGAGCAGCACTTTGGGAACTCACTGCAGGGCAAACAGGCACCTTCTTTCTGGCCAAAGCTGTAATCATTTTCAACTGAATCTGATTGCAGCTTTCTAGGTTGCTCGAACTGGTAAAATGGTAAAGCTCTATGCTTAGCTTTAGTGTTGAGTAAATGTCTTTAATAAAAATGTTTTGTTTAATTAGCCTATTTGTACAGCCTGTGAAATTGCCCATTTCCCGCAGGAAAAAAGTAACTCTTAACAGAATATCACTGCAGTTCACAGCATGCAGTCAGATTTTCTTTTTTCACAACAAATGAACTATTTAATGTCCTATCAACCTGAAATATAAGAAATACTTCCTTTCCTTTCTAGAAAAATAAAAATAGGGGCATTTTATGTATACTTCTTTTGATGAGTGAAAAAAAATTAGTAACAGAGTCTTTACGGAAGGATACCTTTCCACCAGAACAAACACTATGAGGTTTGTGTTCATGTCACTATTCTTTGGGAAATAATAAAAAGCACTTTAATATAACAAATTACTGAAAACCAATCTATTTTGTTTCATTGGGAAAGGATACTGGTTTATTTAGGCCAATCTCCTCCTCTGGTTCTCAGTATATCCAATTACCAATTTATTTTTTTTTTAAACATACAATATTTGTTCTCCAGAGATAAAATGGTGCTTCTTTTTTTTTTTTTTTTGCTTTGGACAGCATAAAGTGGTGTGCTCAAAAAAAAGTCATCAAACCTCAAATCCACCTGCCTCCTTAAATTTTTGTGAGCATTTAAAATTGTTTTATGCTTGAATGTAACTGTAGAAAAACCAATATTCTTTAATATGGTACTTAGCTTGCCTGATCCATTAAACTGACTTAAACCAGGCTTAAGACATAGGCCTGATAGTGTTTGGTGCTGATGAAAGTGTGTTCAATAGTAAGCTTATTAAACAGAGTTCTACAACAAAAACAATAAATGTAGACCAAAGTTTGTCTTACAAGACAAACTGTTCTCCCCTGTTCTCCTCTACTCTGCCCTTAAAGAAATACTGAATTAAGCAGGAGAAAAAGCATTTAATCCACAGTTTAGTGCAAAAGCATTTAATTCTGTTGTAATTTCTGTCTTGTTTCTCTTTTAATCACAACAAGGTGATTGTTTTTCTGAAGTTAGCTTTTTCTTTTTGCAGTGTTTTATTGCAACAAATCATATTAATACTTATGTAATCTGTCACCTTTTCTGTTGTGCCAGTGAAGGTTGTTATAGAAGAAATACCAAATCTTTGATCTTGGTGCTTGGATTTTTTTGTAAAATCTGATGGAAGCTACTCAAGGGATATCTGGTGACTGAGTCTTCACAGATAGTCCATCCTTGCTTTTTTAGTTTTGCTTTGATGTGCTAATTAAATTTGAAACTAGGTCAGAAAACTTATGTAAAGTTAGTGATGTGCAAGGAAGACTTAGTGGGTTGTATATTCTCACAGAACCATTAGGAAGAAATCCAGTGGTCCACTGCATTTTTAAGCATTAAAACCAATAGCAGCATGTGATATATTTTAAGTCCTGCTTAGGAGAATTGTTGCACTAAAGCTTAAGGATGATTCAAGGTAAGGCACCTGAACATCTGAAGAGAAAAGCACAACTGTCAGATTCAGTGTGTCCAAGATGGTAATATTTACATTATTATTTGAAACATGCAGCACTGTGTTCTTATTTTCCATTTCCAAAAGTGGATGTTTTTTCTTGGGTCTGGCACATTTCTTGAATATTGTATCAAAGCCAGACCTTTTTGCTCAATAAAAAATCCAAGAAAAACCTAAGGTGTATTGGAGTGCTTAGAAAGAGACCCTGTGACAGTTTTTCCTGCAGTCACTGTCAGGTGGAATACAGGGTGAGATCACTGGCTTAGTCCAAATTGTGAGTTAAGTGGATGAGCTTCAAGCAGCATTTCCCCAGCAAACCTACTGTGACAGACAGCTTGCTCTCACAGGTAGAATGCAGATATTCCAAGAAAAGGTAGGGATAGATAGGGCAGAAGGGATAGAGGTCTGATAATGCGTCCCTCTTGCTGACTGCTGTCCTTAATAGGAGCTGGGAGTTTGTTCCTGTGAGCCTCCCTAAAACACCACACAACTCCTGAAAGTGGGCTGCTCGCCCCCTCAGATGTAGGCCTTCACTGAACCATTAATGCATTTAATTGCTGTCTATCAGAACATGTCCAAAGAAAACCTGTTTGAAAAACTGTATAATAGAGGATGCATTAAAGATGTAATGCAGTTATTTTTAAATAGTCCAAAGTAGCTCCTTAATGAGAATGAGAACATTTGCATAACACTTGAAGAATTGAAGGATGACAATGCTCTGCAACCAGTGGGGAAATGAGTTATCAGTTCTCTAAGTGAGAGGCAGGGTTTGAATGTGTTCTTTGGAAGAAAATCAGTCACAGTTATTTTCTGATTTCAAAATCTGATGATTTATATAAAAGTGAATGTGAAACCCCCCTGAATTGTAGAATCTTGCAGTCCATGCTGGGGAAAGCAAACCTTGCACTATATTATTGTCCTCTTTTAAAATATTACTGTGCTTACTGTATTAGAGCTTTTTGAACCTTTGCTTTCTGTAAGAAAGATATTAGTGGTTTACTTTTTAAGAAAATGTGGTAAGAAGAGGGAGGAGCTGGATACTATTATTTAAATAAAGTGTGTCTTAAATATTAAGTTTCTGTCACTGGCTATTAATTTTACCATTTTGCTTCAAAATTTGTGTGACCTTTTGGGTTTGTTCGTATTTTTCTGTGCATCCAAAATTTTTATGTGGTATTATATTGTTTTTTGCAGAAAGACTAATGCAGAATGACTATTACATAAGCAACAGTATTAAGCAGAGCTTGACACTCTTTTCTGTATTTCAGAGATAATCCACAAAGTAAATTTATTCAGTCAATCATAAAAATCCAGACAAAACCAACTTTTGCTGGTAGTATATGTACAATGTACAGTGAGTATCCCTTTTTAAGTGGTTTTCTCAACCCTTTTAATTTCATAGGTGAGGTTATTTTAGGAATAGTTTCCCTGTATTCTTAAATGCCTTGAGTTAATCCATGTGAGTTAATACAGCATGGAAGTCATATCAATCTGTATAGCATTTTGCATAACATGCTGCAATCTTGCCTCAGAAATTGGTACATAAAACTTTGGTTTTAGTCAGTAGTTCTTTGCAGTGCTTTTAAAATTGCAAATGTGAACAGCGTAACATCAGTCAGTTACGATTCTGGCGATTGTGGAGTTGTGGGATACCCTGCAACTGTACAGCAGCCTTTTCCTGTGAATTGATATTTTTAGGTTTTTCCTGCTGTGAATCCAGTCATGAACAAAGTTACTATAGTAACTATTTGAAATGTATTACAACATGCTCTGTTTAATCAGCCAGTTGTCCAGAATAATTAATGCTGAAAGGTACTTCAGTTCTGTTTCTGTTTTTCTGTCTAGTGAGAAGCATTAACCATAACTTTTTGTTCTTGATTTTATATCCAAAAATTGTTGCATCACGACGCAGTATTACTAAAATAGTCAAACCACTGTGATTTTTGTCTTCCTGGCCTCAGGATACAAAACAGATGCTGAAATAGATCAGAATTTGGAGTTCATATAAAATGGGAAGTATTAAACTGAAGTAATGGTGGGAAATCATGTGAACAGTATTGTTGCTGTGCTTTAAACCTGAAAGGCTGAAGGTAACTGAAACATATTTCAAATGGGACTTAGGAATACAGAATGTAAGTGATGAAGACTGGGAGCCCCAGATAGCCTAGGATATGAGGTAGGCTCAGTAGTCCAGGAAATTACAGGAGCTGAAGAAGTGTCAGAAACAGCTCATCTCTTACTTCTGATCCTACTGGTCAGAGATGTGGAGGGTGAATGGATTGAAAATAGGGAGTACATTTGTTTCTTACTTAAAATTACCCTGTTTTATATATTCTAGGGACAGATTAAAAGAGCAGCTCCATAGTAAGCTAGTGCTTTTCTTGTACTGAATGGCTCATGTGGAGTTTCCTATCAGTGACTGCCCTGAGTCCTTCTCAAACAACTTTGTCTTTGAAATGTAGGAAAGCCTTTTAGTGAACTGAAGGAACTGATTCAGATCATCTCTTGAAGTGGTTTATACAGGATATAGACAATACCCATCTTTTTAGGAATCCATTTTTCCTCAGTTGTATTACATTATCCTTTACTTGCACTGTGCTGTGGTTCAGAAAGATGTTACATTCTTTTGATCTGTTGGACAAGCCTTTCTTCCTGGAAGTGGAAATTCTTGGAATTCTCTTACTTTCCCACCTTTCTCTCAGTCCTTGTCCCCCAGCCCCACCAAGACAGAGCTTGAAACTGCTGTTGAAGATAAAATGCATCTTCTTAGGTACTGTGGGAAGCCTGTTGCTAATTCCTGAAGAATTTGTGTCCTGCAGCTGACTGAAAGGATTTATTAACACTGTTTTGATAGTGTCCAGCCAGAAGGAATTCTAATTACAAGATCACCTATCTTCTGCTTTAAAGTGAATGGAGAGAGGAACATTACTGCTCTGTATCTCCTGGAACACGTGTCTTCCCTTGGGATACAGATGATGTATTTTATTCCCTATTGTATTGGACAATTCAATTAATTTTAGAAAACAAAAATTTTAACTCTTCAGTTTTTGGGAAGAAAGTTGGTTTCTTGGTGGCTGCTAGCCAGTTAGAACTCATGCTTTCTTCTGATAATTATCTTTAAATGCAGTTCTGCAGTGTTTCCTTCTGAAGTCCTCATATACATATACTTTAACATGTCAGGTTTTTGCAAGTGAAAAGTTTGTGCTGTATAACACACTTGGCAGTTGAATTTGTTGCTATAAAAGAAAGTATTGCTTGTACACAGTTCGTAATTTCCAGAACTTAAATATAAAACTTTGTGATGAGTAACTTCTGTATGCTGCTGTTCAATTCTCTGTGTTTATGAGTGAAAATCATGCAGATTATTGGTGTGCTAATGAAGTTAACTGTGTTTCTAGCCCAGATGTCAGAGCATTTCTTCAGATGGATAACCCAAAACACCAGTCAGATCCATCTGAAGATGAAGATGAAAGGAGCAGTCGGAAGGTAATAAAACAGAAGTAGAACAGTCTTCTAAATTTTAGCTACTTGAGGGCAGTCTTCTTAGGTATATTATTTACTGAAAACTACTGGTACATTTTGCAATAAATCCCCTCCCTGTTCTTTTAAACAACTCAGTTCCACTGTGGGCTGTGAGCTATTTTTCTGTCAGGTGTGAACTGCAGAGAGGAGTAAAAGTGATTGCTGGCTTTGCCTTGCTTATTTCCCCCCTTGCTAGATGCGTTAAAGGAACACAACTTTAGTCATAGCTTAGCTGCCAGAGTTTTTGCAGTCTGTTCAAAAGCTCTTTCTAAGAACATCTGGCAAGGAGCAGGGGAGATTGAATGTTTAATTGTCTTTTTGTTTGCTTGTGCATTCTTCTTTTTTAAAGATGGGGAGAAACAGAATTCTCTCAGGGGAGAAAATGCAGTCTTTCTAAAATGCACTTAGGAGGAAGGATGGATTTGATTTCATTTCACATATAACACTGTGTGAGGTCCGAAGTTTCTTTTTTCAAAAAAGCCACTATATAGCTGGATGTATTCTCTGAAAAATAGTTTGCAGCCTTCAGAAACAGTGCTGTTTGAGAAAAGGAGTATTTCTAGGAAGGTAGAAGTGCCCTGTTAAGCTTGTCTTCTCTTTTACTTACTACTTGGCATGAAGATGTGATATTAGTACTTCTTTTCTTATTCAACCCTTCTTAAAGATGTAAGAGTTGTTTCAGTTTGTGTGTGATCCACAGGAGATTTAGTGTGTTCTGAAAGTTTCATTTTAAAGTCACCAGTTTAAGATACTGGTTTCCTCCTCCTTTGAAAGGTATTTTAAGTAATGTGGAATGATACAAACCATCTCTTGAAAATTAATGATGTGTCATACCACAACAAATTCCAAAGAGAGCTACTGCATAATGGCCTGGTCCCCATATTTTTGGTGGAAAATTCACCTTATGGTTACTGTAAATGATGAAGCCAAACAACAAGAAAAAAAAAAATCTTTTTTAACAGTAGCTCTTTCAAAACTGTCCAGCACCACTGGCTCATTTCAGTGAGTAGTGGAATCCAGTGCTGCTGTCAGACCATTTTCCACTTCTGGAGTACTGCTTTGTGCTGCCTGTCCCGGGGTAACTTGTATTTGAGTGCAGTTTATTATTCTCTAATAAATTCCAGAATCACAATGAGAGTACAAATACCGCTTTTCTAAATCAAAAATAAAATTGAGAAAATCACCTAAATTACAGTGGCTTCCTCTGCTCCCCGTAATTTGCAAATTCTGCCTGGGTGTGTACCAGTAAGATTCATGGAATTCCAGGAATTGAGTTATTTAACCTTTAATGTCAGGATAGAAAAGGTTGGTAATGTTTTTCTTGGGGTTGGAAGAATGTTCACTTCCATGTTTTTAAAAGCACTGTGTCTTTCATTAATTACTCTTATATAAACAGTGTTGCTTTAAAATTATTGTATTAGTAAGATCTTGAAGAATTTGGAATAAAAGGTAGAAAATACGTTCATGAAGCAAGCACAGAAAGGGTTAAGTTCTGAATGAGGAACAAGTTGTTTGTTGAAATACACTTCGGTTTTTATTTCTGATCTTTTCCTCTCTGAATGAACACAGATACTTTATTACCTTCATCTTGGAACAGGATGTGTGTAGAAAGAATTTGTGACAAGGTGATGATGGCCAGGTATTTCAGTTCCCAGTCTAGATGTTAGATCTCTTTCAAATTCTAATGTAACAAGTGTAAAAGTATGGATTGAGCAGGTCAGTAGAGTATTTTGAAATTAGTGTTGGTTGAAAGATAAGAGAGAAGAAAAAGTATTACAAGTAAACCTCTTTGTTTCTCCCAACAGTTAAACTCTACCTCACAGAATATCAACCTGGGACCATCTGGAAATCCTCAGTAGGTTTCAATTAAATTGAATTTCATGCAATTCAATTTAATGCAAATTTAAAACTTAATTAAATGGGATTAAAATTAATTTTAAAGCCTGAAAAGTTAGACTGACCTGGGGAGTGGTCCCACAGCTTCTGAAAACAAGTTTGGTTTATTGCATGCCAGAGGAGCAGCTTGCCTTGTTGGTGCTACAACCCAGTTGCTACAGTGGTAACTTGTGTCTCTGTTTGGTGTCTTCTGCAGTTTCTGTTCTCAGTTCTGTGTGAATCTGCTTTTCTCCTCCAGGAGAGGACTGCTATTTTGGTTTTGCTTTCCTCACAGATTTGTTCTGGGCTAGCAGGAGGAAGTGGTTAATAGATTGCAGTAAGAAATTAAATGTAAGAGTCCTTCCCTTTGGGGGCAATAAATAGAGAGGTGTATGGTGATGTAACTTGTTTTGCAATTTGAAAACACGGATAATTGTTTTGCTGACAGAATTGTATTCAGGAAAGAGTAAGGGAATCCTGGGAAAAACTGAAAGGAGTGGTCATTTGGGAAATGGAAAAACTGAGAGTGAATTCATGGAAACACCAAGAAGAGGCAGGTGTTAGGACCTCCCTCCTCTTACTGAAATTTAAAACAAGGGAGCATTGGATGGAGGGAAGAATGGAACAAATAAGAGGGAATAGATAACGAATTTGGTCCTTCCTTTTCTTATGTTATATTTTAGAATTATATTTGGACTGCTGGAAATGAGCTCCAGTAGACGTCATGAGGAAATGGAGACTTAAAAATTACAAGAAATTAGACCATGGAGAATGAAACAATGGTCTTGCTTCTCCTTTACATCATAAGGTTAAACTTAGTAAAGAAAATAAACTCAGAGGATGCAACTTAAACACTTTCCCTAGAGGAAAATGGAGTTACAAAATGAAAAGGAGTTGCGTCTGAGGACAGGTCTGCAGAAGCAGTGCTGGGTGGAACAAAGAAAAGGAGGGTGCTTCAGTAGACTGGTGTACAGCTATAAGGCTTGTAATTTCTGCCCAGATGACCTGTCTCTTTCCTAAATATCTTTCAGTGCTAAACCAACAGACTTTGATTTCCTGAAAGTTATTGGGAAAGGCAGCTTTGGCAAGGTGAGCTTTTATTCCTGTGTCTTACGGTGGTGCAAGGATGCTCACTGGTTTCTCGCACACAGTGACTGGAGACTTGGCCAGAGGTTCCAGAGTGGTGTTGCTCTAGGGTGGCCCATAAACTGTTCTGTTGGATCCTCATTGCTGCTGATCTGTGGCCCTGCCATTTTTTTCCTGGTGCCACTGTTGGCTGCCTCGGCCACTTGTTGGGACTAACAAAAGGGAGGTTTTCCCTTTCTCGTTCCGAGCAATTGGGATCCTCTGTTTTCCCCAGGGAGGAAGGGAGGTACCCCTATGCTTGTGCAGCAGCTGGAGTACAAATCATGCTTTTCCTCTTGTTGTCAGGGACTATTTTGTGGTACCTCAGATACTATGGAGCAATGTGAGCAACAGCACATTGAAAAGTTACTTAAGTATTGATATTTTACAAAGATGCCAAAGAGAATCCCTTTTGAAATCTCTATTTCCAAATTATTTTTTGTGTTGTTATTTTTCATTCAATTATTTTTACAATTTATCCCCAAAAAAGCTGAAATTAATCTTGATAGAGATTTAGCAGGTCATGGAAAACAAATGTTACAATTCAATCTTTCATGATACCACTGTTGGATAAGTTTTTTCTGAACTGTAAGCTCACTCTATTGGCAATTACATTGTTGACTGACTATATGAAAAGCTAAGAAACTGTACTGTGAAAAAAATAGCATGAACCCCTTCCAGTTAGGCCACAATGATAAAATATTACCCATAGTATGTAAACTGCAATAATCAGATGTCTTCCTTTTCTTTTGAATTTCACAGGTTCTTCTTGCAAAACGAAAACTGGATGGGAAATACTATGCTGTCAAAGTGTTGCAGAAAAAAATTGTTCTCAATAGGAAAGAGGTTAAAAGAAATAGTCCTTTTTCCACCCACCTCCTTTGTTTTTTCCCTTAATTACAAAATCATTCCTGTTTACTTATTGATCTCTTACTTCTTGTAGCAAAAACATATTATGGCTGAACGTAATGTGCTTTTGAAAAATGTGAAACATCCATTTTTGGTTGGACTACATTACTCATTCCAAACAACAGAAAAGCTTTACTTTGTCCTGGATTTTGTTAATGGAGGAGAGGTATGTGGTGGTTTCCACTGTAGTCTGTCTATTCTGCTAATTCTAGATGGGAGGAGTGAAGTGATCCTTCACAATGGGCTGTGATCCACATTCTTCCAATTTTGAAAATTCTGTTATTATCTGCTGTAGCTATAGACTTCTGTATCTGTTTGGACCCTGTTCCTATTCTTATTGACAACTTCAATCCAAATTTATTCATGCTTGTCAGATACAAATACTGTATGTTAGAGTTATATAAAATTACTTCCATTACAAATTAATCTTATGTTTACATTTTTCACCATGGAACACTGGCTTCCTCTTGCATGTGCATTAACTGAGATGCTGATATTTCAAAAGGGAAAGAAAGGAAGCTGACAGCTGAATTTATTATATTGTGTCAGAGTTAGGACAAGATGGGCATTTTTCTTGTCTAATGTACCTTACTTAGACTGTATTATCAAAATCCTGGTTTGCTCTGAATTGTGGTCAGAACTTAGTTTTGTATTGTTTCAGGCAAACTAAAAGAGAGTTCAAAGCAGCTTTCAAATTTGAAAGCTTGGAAAGCTGGGGTGGCTTTTTATTTTTCCTGAATTTTGTAGGCAGAAACCAGAAAATTTCATTTTTCTTAAAATCTTTACAAGTTGCATGTGTACTATAGTTGAATCTGTATGTTTATGACTTAATCTTTTGTCTAGACTTCTGTATCTGCTCAAATTATTTGCAGTCAGACAGTTCTCTGTAGTAGAGACAACTGGTGGATCAGCTTGGAATATACATCTCACACAGTGATCTACATCTAGGTTATTTCAGAATACAGTTCTATAAATAATTATGCAAATCTTTGAATACACACATTTTCAGAAATGAAAGATGACTTATTTGACACCAGGTTATATATTCTCCTTGGAGGCAGTCTTGCATGATTTAGTCTTACCAACTTCTGTTCACAGCTTAGTGATTTACTCTAGCTCCTTTTGACTAGTCCTGGTTTTAAGAGAATGTGTTTGAGTTACCTATCCATCTGAGCCACAAAAAAGAAGCAGGGAAGAGAGTAAAGTAATGACTACGTCACTACGTCATGCAGAAAATCCAATTCTATTTCCCGCTTTTTTTTTTTAACCCAAAAAAAAAAAAAATGGACAGCAAAATAAATTACTCTTCACTGTAAAATTACATGTTATTAACCTGACTCGTTTTGTCTATGTAACATTTTTATTTCCTATTTGCATATTTACAGCTGTTCTTTCACTTACAAAGAGAACGTTCCTTTCCTGAGCACAGAGCCAGATTTTATGCTGCTGAAATAGCCAGTGCACTGGGCTACCTACACTCCATAAATATAGTCTACAGGTAAGTTTCTGAAAGGCATACGTGTCCTGCAGAAAATCAAAATAGGAGAAATTACCAGATAATAAACTCTACAAGAAATCATCCTGTAGGAAACCTGAACATAACACTTTGATCAAAACATGACACTTTCAGCTGAAGAATAATAAAACCCCTTGCCTCTGAAGCACTTGTGACTGGTGTTTTAATTTCCTACCTTTTCTTTTTTAATAGGGATTTAAAACCAGAAAACATTCTCCTAGATTCACTAGTAAGTATTCAAGATTATTTCTGTTTTCTGTGTTCTCCCACAAAATTGACACTTCTGTGTATTCACATGTTGAGCATGTTCTCTTTTTCACTTATCACTCTTTCTTAAACAGGGTCATGTTGTCTTGACAGACTTTGGACTTTGTAAAGAAGGGATTGCAACTTCTGATACCACTGCAACTTTCTGTGGGACCCCAGAAGTATGTTGACAGCTTTCATGGGCTTTGTATCAATAATTAATGACTGTTGAGCACTATTAATTTTTGTGTAACTAGAAGGTCAGATACTGTGTTTTGTACTCCTGTGAGGTTTGCATTCTTTGAACAAGATGAAAGCAACCCAAAGACAAGCTCGCTACACATCTATTCATTGTTATTCTTCCTAATATGCAGTGTCTACTGCTTGCTACCTGCATGGCCATAACTCATCTCTTCCTTCCTCTGTTTTTCCAGCCCTTTTGAAATACTGTTTTCTCCCATGTCTCCTAACTGCTGGGTAGACACAGGACACTTAGCTTGTGTAACAGCTGATTTTTCAATATGAATCTACTCTACCATATCCTGTCATTGATTCTTAGTGAGTTTATAGGGAATTAATATCTGTGCCTCAATCAAATGATTGCATGTGCACATAACTTTGAACTTGCTGACTGAGTTATTGAACTCTGTTGTCTTTTTACTGGGAAAACTGCACTGGAATACATAGAATGTGGAAGGCTTGAACACATATGAGGGATTCACCAAACAGAGGATTAGAAACTTCAGTAATTTGATAAACATACTTTAAATTACAGGGAAGACCTTTGAATACAATGAAAGATGGGTGAGGTGTAGTATTTAGCTGAAACATTTGATTCTTATGAAGCAGCTTTTCTTGAAAGTGTTTACTGTGAAGTGACTAAACCCTAGGTTTTATCCATGCTAAGTCTAATTCTCTAAAGAACTTTTTCTTTGTTCATTTCAGTATCTTGCACCAGAAGTCATTAAAAAGCAGCCCTATGACAACACAGTAGACTGGTGGTGCCTTGGTGCAGTTCTTTATGAAATGCTTTATGGGCTGGTATGTACCTGATATGTAAAGTTTGTTTTCCACCCCTCTCCCCTTTTATTTGAAGTAAACTTTTGAGTGTTGTTAAAGATGTTTACTTTTTCATAATATTGGAATACTCCATTTAAGCAGATTAACAGATTGTCTTGTACTTACATAGCGCTTGTTTTTCTCTTTTGGATTTTACATTGCCTCCCGGTATCTGACAGTTCATGGAAAAGCAAAATCAGAGACATCAGCAAAACCAGTAGTCATCATTTTGAGGGACTGAGAGTAAAGTGAATCAACAGTGATAATACACAAAAAACCCCAGAATAGCTTATAAATAAAATTTTGTCAAATATTGCAATAAATAATTTTTTTTTTTTTAACTGAGGTATCCCAGGTTTTCTCCTTGCTTTTTGATAGCATTAGAACAAAAATATCTTGCTATGCTTCTTCTAGTCATATGTAATTACTCCAGTAAGAATCTGTTCTTCTAGTTTTCTTGAGTTCTGTCTCTTCCCGTAGGACCTTAAATAGGGAGATGGATTTTGGATTTGTTTTCCCATTCTCAGGTTCTTTTCAGGCAAGTTCAGTGGGAGCTTTGAAGCTCTATGGCATCTATGGCTACTTATTAGTGTGAGAACACTAATAGGAGTAGAGGAGGCGGGTGGTGGGAAGTTATTAAGTGTAAAGTTCTGGCAGTGGTGATGACTGAATTAGAAGTTAGCAGTGCATAAAAAGGAGATTTCTGCTTCACTGCTAGCAGTCTTGCATGTCTTACAGAATCATTTACTGATCATACATAACATATGAAACAACATTGCATGTGGCTTCAAATTCATGTAGAACTTGTATTTTTTAGCCTCCTTTTTACTGCCGTGATGTTGCTGAGATGTACGATAATATTCTTCATAAGCCCCTGGTTTTGCGCCCAGGAATCAGTCTCACAGCCTGGTCTATCCTGGAAGAGCTTTTGGAGAAAGATCGGCAAAGCAGACTTGGAGCAAAGGAAGACTTTGTAAGTGGTGTCCTAATTTATCAAGCCCTATTTCATTTAAAGGGACTCACCAAATTATTGTGCACAGTGCAGGATTCATAGTTGGAGATAGAAACTGCATTGCTCCATCTGCATCTACAGCTGTCTCCATTTTCCTCTTTTTTATTTCTTCACTAAAGACACCAGTGGGGTCTATCTCTGGAAGTTCCTGGGGATAAGAGAGCAGTGATTGTTGTGGGGTATTTTGAGCTTGGTTGCTGCTGTACCTGCCAGCAAAGGAAAAACACTTGCTGGTGTAGCAGTCACTAACATGTACGGAAGTAGATTTCACTGTTCATAGTGAAACTGGGAAATACTCAAAAGAAAAGGCTGTGTGTGGTAATGCTAATGATTTGGAAACCACTCTTCAGGTAAAGGGGAACACTAGTTCCATGCAAATAGGCAGCCTTTTTTTTAGCCTTAAAATTATGGCAGGCATTTTTCCAGTGTAGCAACAAAACTTAAGTTCACAAAAAGTTGATGTGAGAAAGTTACAGGTGTCTTCAGACCTGTGCGATGAGGAATGATCTAGAGGATGTACTCCATCCATTAGGGGTGGGATCTTTGTAGTCTTTGCTTTGCAGTCCTTATGTTAGTCTGTGGACCTTGTAACTGAGGAAGATGCAAGGATTTAGCATAGCTGTTTGCTGCTTCTTGAATAGTAAGTATATTGCAGAGCTGTTGAAGCACCTGCTTCTCAGACAGTGATAGGCTTTACAAAAACTAATAAAACTTTAAGGCAGGAAAAGATATCAACAGAAGACATTCTTGTTCTGGAGTAGACTTCTAGTCTGTTGATTTTAGGGATTAAAAGCAGAAAGCATTATTTTGGAAGGAAAACCATTTATAGACACAGTCTCATAAATTTAATTTGCTGTTTTTACTGACTACAACTTTTATTGCAAAGTAAATTGTGAATAAACAAACTGATAAGGACGTGCACATAAGAACTTCCCTGTGTACATGTAGTATGAAGTATTGTTTACTACGATGCACAGAATGGAATTATGAAATATCTAAAATCTTTATTGTTTGCTACAGCTGGAAATTCAAAAGCATCCGTTCTTCGAATCTCTCAGCTGGACTGATCTCCTTCAGAAGAAGATTCCACCACCATTTAATCCTAATGTGGTAGGTGCCTGGGGAGTGGTGATGGTGTTAGTGTTTGCATCTCAGATCACACATCACTGAATATTCTGAGTTGAAAGGGACCCACAAGGATCATCAAGACCAGATTTTAAGTGAATGCAGTCAGTCCCATATGGGGACTGAACCCATAAACTTGGTGCTCCTAGCACCGTGCTCTAATCAACTGAGCTAATCTCCCTAAGAGAGACTTTTTTCGTATTTTTTTAGGTTTATCAGGTCATTAAGAATGTAGGATTTGTCAAAACACCAACCTCACTGAAAAAACCCCAGCCTTTTAATACCTATTTTCAGAGACGGAGTGATGTGCTTCCTTAAATTTCTTTGCTTAAATAGAATATAACGACAAAATAGATAGCCTTGAGAGTTAAATTTAGAATCTCTAGGACAAGCACAAGTTTAAAACCCTGTATTAATTTGATGACTGACAGATCCTTCTGTTTTCTAGGTTGGACCAGACGATATTGGAAATTTTGATGCAGTGTTCACAGAAGAAATGGTCCCATACTCAGTTTGTGTTTCTTCTGACTACAACATTGTTAATGCCAGTGTCCTAGAGGCAGATGATGCATTTGTGGGATTTTCTTACGCACCACCTTCTGAAGATGGGTTTTCCTAGGGACTTAGAAGCCAAGAGTGGTTTGGAAGTCTTGGGTTGAACTGAAATGTTAGGGTTATGGACACATTCCAAAATAGCGTAAATAGTGCCTCGTCTTGTATGTAGGTTTGAAACCTATGAACAAACTTTCTCTGCTGTATAGGAAGAATTTGGGCATTTTGGATGGCTTTCTTTAGGGTTTGAACTGTTTGTTCCTGCTGCAGAAAATATTTTTTAAAACCTTTAAAAAGCATTCTCTATGTATTTTTAAAGCAAAAACACTGACTGTTCTCCTCAATCCCTTTGAGTTTACATTCATACCTATCTAATTTGGCTGGCACAAACAGCAGCAAATTTAGTAAATTTATAAATGCTTTTGTACTTATTTACAGTGACTTTGTGCTTGAATTGTAACTATGCAAATTGTCTTTTGTATATCCTGGTTTAAAAAAAGGTAAATGTTTTCCCTGTTACCAGTTTGGAGTATGTGTTAATTTACCTGTCGGCACTTAAATGATACATGTTAAGGACCAAGATTCTTAAAGGACTTCTTCAGGATGAAAACTTGGTCACATAAAACTGGATTGTTGCTCTTGTACTTGCTGAAGTACCTATTGGCTCAACTGGATTATTTGAGGTGTGGGGGATTACTCAAAGCAAGGACAGAACAAATTAACTGGATTGATTTGATAACATTACTTATTATGTGTTCTACTTTTCTTTCTTCCCTGAGCTATGTCTATACTTCAACTACATTAAAATATTTTTGGTTAAAGCTCTGCTTCTCCAAAGATCTAATATGCAATAATCATGGTTACTTTAAAAGTAAGTCAATTAGCTTTGACATTTTGGGGGTGGGTGGTGAGATGATCATGCCAAATATTAGGGATTTTTCTCACAGATTGGTAGTTTAAAACACTTTTATGTTCCAAATTGATTGTATTTCAGTGCTCATAGCTAAATGTCTTTGTGTTTCAGTTTGCACCATTTTAAAATCTTCACTTGGTATTGGGGGGAAAATGTAAATTACACTGATGATTTTTAAAAATGTGAAAAGCTATTGTATTTCTCATAACATACACTTGTATGGACAAACATAATTCTGAACAATTTCTGTTTAAGGAAATTTTTTTTAAACAATGCAAAAATTGACTGCAGTTACAGTGTATAAAAGGCATATAATGGTAGTAGTTTTATTATATATATATTACTTGTAAATAACAACTTATTTTTGTCTGTTACTCCAAAAATGTTCAGTGTTTTTTGTTCACAAATAGATTCAGTTAAATGCCTTGATTTGAGAGAAGTCTGGTAAGGTACTGATAGATCACAATGATACATAAATTGAATGAATATTACATAAATTTCAGTATCTAAGTCACACTGATTTTTGACAAAATAAGCATCTAAAATAAATATACTGTGTCAAGATCTGATAAGAATTGAGAACCTGGCGGGGAGACGGTGTATCAAATCATAATTAGTTTGAAATAAATGTTGTATCGATACATTACAAAAGTGGAAAGTAAAACAGGATTCCTTGCTTACCTCAAGGAGCATCTCCTAGAGCACAGTCTCCTGCATAGTGCTTAAGTGATGCTTAGCAGTTGCTACATGAGGTTTTGGAAGAAGTGATTGGGTAAAAAGTAAGAATTGACATTGGCAGGGGAGGAAGCAATGAACTGTATCATTTGTGGGAGCAGAATGGTGGCTTGGCACTCATTTTCCATAGTTCTCTTCTGCAAGGGTTGAAAAAAGCTGTTCAGGACAACCAACAAGTACATGAATAGTTTCCTTGGCATTAAAATAATTTGGAAGTAACAGCCCTGGTGTTTTTAGGTTGGGGGTGGGGGGAGGTGGTTGTCAGTATTTTTGGGTTTTGGTGTTTAGTGTTTTGATTTGTTTGGTTTGTTGGTTTTTTGTTTGGTTTTTGTGTGTTGGTTTTGTGTTTTTTTTAACTTGGCTTGCTAACTGGCTGGGAAACAAATAGTTGGTATCAAAGGAAGTATTCATTTTTAGTCTGTATGCTCCTGAAATTATTGTATAATTATGTGGCTACTGTAACTACCTTCTCTTTATGGCCAGGAGGTACAGTGCTGTAGAGGGATGGGAAAGACAGGGAATACTTCAGAAATTGTGGGAACTAGCACCCTTTTTAATTTTTGTCTTGAATTCCAAGACATTCATGCCTGACTGGATTAAGGGTTTTATTTTTCTGGGTTTTTTTTGTGTCAGAATTGAGGGGTTCTTTTTGTTTAAAAAAGTAGTGTGGCAGTTGAAGTTATTTCTGGGAGAGCAGCTTAATAATTGCTTATTAAGCTTTTTCCTTCAGCAGAGTCTGCCTTTTTGGCAAAGTGTGAATGTGTTCAGCGCATCACTTGAAGTACTTAAGTTCTTTGAACTAAAGGTTATCAGACTGCACAACATCAGGCAGTAAAGCCTCACAGTATTTCTGTACCCAGTGCTCTTGTTCCACATCTCTGTGCATCCCATGAGGATGGTTTCCAAAGTAAGACATGCATTTGGTGTGTTTTTGCTGCCTCACCCAGGGCTGAGCTATGAAAAGTGATACCTGAAAGATGCAGTAAAGCCTGGAGAAGAGAGTGGTGAACCTGCACAGGAACCACCTGTGCTACTCCTTTCCTGTTTTGATAATAAAGGGAGGCACAATCTTCCTTTTTGTGACTAGTGCAGGGACTTTTGTTCTGCCTGTCTGTAGCAGAAGGGGATTGATTGTTGCTCCCCTTGCAGAGGGAGCCCAAGCACCCACAAGGAGCAGGCCTTGCTCCGGTGCTGTGGAGTGGAGCCCGGTCTCGGCCTGAGGGGGGGAACGAGAGACCACAGCAAAGATAGACTGACTGAAAAGCCCGATGCTTGTAAAAATGTGAACTGAAATACAACACACGGTTCAGAGGTGCTCTCCTGGAGAGCTAAGTTTGGGAGAGCCTGCCACGCTAAAGGCAACAGTTAAATATGCAATGTGTGTTAAGGAGAGAAAATGGTTCTGTAAGTACGTTGCCGCGGTGCTTTGCACACTGACAGAGCCGTGTCCTGTGCCCAGTGCCCTGCCCGTGGCTGAAGGCAGTAGCTGTGTGGGGCCGAGGCGCCAGTCCCGGCGGTGGCCTCGGGGCTGGGGCAGCTGTCGGTGTGGGATGGGCTGGGAATTGCCTTCCCTGAGGAATCGCACTGAGCACGGGCCCTGCCCCTGCGCGGCCGAGCCCTGCGGGCCGTGGCTCTCCCCGCGCCGCCGGCTGAGGGGGCGGCGCTGGGAGCTCCGTCCCGCCGCTGCCGAGCCCTCGCTGCCGAGCCCTCGCTGCCGAGCCCTCGCTGCCGAGCCCTCGCTGCCGAGCCCTCGCTGCCGCCTCGTACAGGGCGGCCTCGCCTCCGCCGCGGGCACAGGGAGCGGCATCGCGGCCCCGCGGGGCTGAGGGCAGCCCGGGCCCCGCGGTGCTCGCTGCTGCCGACCCAGCAGCGCCGGGGAGAACGGGGCGCACGAAGCCTGGTGAACCACTGGTGGGGAGGTCTGTGAGGCAGGGGGGCCGATGGCATGGCAGCTGAAGCCAGGCAGGAGATGCTGATGTGCCGAGTCACAGCTGCAGCGGGGTTAGCTGGCTGTGGGGACACTGGCGAACACCATCACCCTGGTCAGGCTTTATTTTCCGAAGCTTAGGCGCTGGCTGCTCAGCGCACAATGCTCAGTCTTCCCTATCACATCATTTGTTGTGTCCTGCGTATCCAGCCCGGGTAACACAGGATCCAGGGAGATACAGTGGATCTATGTGTGTGTACATTTCTTTAAGCCGTTCTTGCTGAATATTTCAAGGGATGAAGTAGTAATCGTTCAGGAGCAATCCCAATGACACGAGCGGGGGCGGGGAGGAACCCCTATTATAAATTATCTTTTAACTTGTGCCTTTAATTTGTTACTTCAGGCATTAAACACGTTTCAGCCCACAGTGTACAGGTCTCAGGCCACAGAGTTAATGCTGCTGCCGCACTGAAGTTGTGCTGAAATCCAGTTACTCCTCTTGGCTGTTGATCTGTTTGTCCTCCCCAGGTAATTTCTGTGAACTCCTATAGGGAATGTCTCATATGCTGTGAGCTTTCATCCCTCATCAGCTCAGCAATTCCCTGTCCTATCCTTTACCAGGTAGCTAAGTCTTGCTATTGAAGATTCAAGTGTTGTTTCATATTGGTCTACAGAGAGAACTAAGGACATTTTGCAGAAGAAAATATTAAAGGCATTGAAACAGATGCATATATACAAAATACCATATTTTGGCCTTAGTAATTCTCCTAAATTCTGCAAAGTAGCGCTTCATGGTAAAGACACTACTCTTAAAAAAAAATTAGAAATAGATGTGGGTAATACACAATGAAAACCGCACTAAAGAGCAAGGTCAGCCTCCAAACCAAAACCATAGCTGTAAAAGCTTTGCTAGTGGGAATCAGAATTGAACGCCTCTGTACATGCTTGGAAGTAAGTGCAAGATCAGCACCTGAAGTGGGTGCTACAGGAGATTACAGCAGGGTAGGAAAGTCAGATTTTAAGAAAAGGGATGTTGCCCAGTTTCACACTTTTAACAGCTATGACAGACTTCTCAAATAAGGGAGATAAAATTTTAAGTCTTACTTTAGATAGACTGATTATAAAATCTACAGGGGAGGTTAAATTAAACAGAGACTTTAATTTCATGGGTTAGGGAATTAGGAGAGTGAAATAATTCACCAAAGAAATGAAAACACTAGAGCATTCTTCAGAAATTTACTCTAGAAATAGAGTACATGTCAGTCATTGGAAAGAGCTTTGAACTGAATTTTAAAAATCCTTCAAGAATTGCCTAGCTTGAAAAAGAGACTATTTTAATTTTGTGTGGCTTTGTTAGTATGTACCTTTATTATTACTGTTATAGCATGGCCAGTGCTACCAGCATTTCTTCATGGTTTATTCCCACAGTCGGATAAAGTGTGCAAAGATCTTGGAAGATGGATCCTGAAATACAGAAGATGAAGGAAGTAGTCCTTGTCTATCTTGACAGAAGTGGTGGCCTTCAGAAATTTGTGCATGATTGCAAAAAATACAATGGTATTACTCAATACATAGTCTGTTGAATTGATACATAATGTTATGTTAACAAATCCATTATTTTAAAATACCTTTTGTTCTTACAGACTCAAAACAAAGTTATGCTGTTTATCGTTTCATTATTTCAATTAATCCTTCTGACATTGCTGAATTGGATGCAACTCTTGGAAACTATATTCTTCATAATCCCCTACAAGCTGCACAGATTTTTCAGTCAGTAAGTGAATAATAGATGAGTAGGCAAAAGTGCATCATCTAAATTTTAACAAGATTTTCCTTTCTTAAATGAAATTATTTTTCTATTACAGGTATGCTTTGTAGCTATTAAGACATTATCACTAATTGAACAATTGCAGACAGAAGCCCAGGTAAGTCTACATTGGTTTTCTCCATTTAGATCTTGAATCTTCTAAGTATAGTGAAATATTAACAAATATTGTTGTTTTAAGTTTTCATTTTCCCTTTGGTTGCAGTATTATTTATGATTAAAAACAGCTGGAAGTCTCACCCTACCACATTGCAATTGTGAGATTAATTAATATGAAACCTGGTTACTCTTCATGTGTTTCTGAAATTTTTAAAGTTATATATCACATTGTGTGTTTGTCCATGAAAACTAAAGCAGTTTTAAATAAAAATATGGTTTTATGATATTAATGCTATTGTGTCTCTTGTTAGATCAGTATATTGCTGAGACCAACACATTTGCCACCTTTACCGAGTTATGTTCTGAGTCTTTCTGCATATCCCTTTAATTACACATCTCAAAGATTTTATATGTCTGAAGGGATAGTGATTGCAATGGGAACTGTAACAAAATACACACAAGGAGCAAGATTTCTTTGTACTGAGGAAACCTGTCCATTCTCTGAAGGTAGTAAAAAATATAAAAATTAATCAGTAATATTTCAAAAGCTTTTAAATAAATTTGGTAATAAGACATTAAAAACCTAGCCTAGCAAAGGTATTTTCCTATATAGTTCTATTATGCATACATTTTTGTAAGGAACACAGCAGGATTTGTGTTAATTGAAAGGAGTGGACTTGCTCAACATTATTAAATGTTTTGGAAGAACAGCTATGCCAGTAGTCCTTTTCCTAATGCTGAAGGTAGTTTATAGGAGAAAACATAAGTCACCTGTATAACTTGAATATATTTAATATCTTAAATAATACTTAAATATCTTAAATAGCAATAAAATATCACAAAAGTAAATAAGCAAAACTAGCAACATATCTTTTTCCTTGGAAACTGTTTGTCCATAAAAAAATACCACAGAACAATATGCTGAAGTGGCTGGCAAAAACGTCTAGCATAGAACAAGTGCTGCTTTCTGTGGAACTACTACTTTGAGTAGCATTACTGAACCTCTTCAACCATTGCAGAGAGGCCCTAAGTACTTTTAAGGCTGTTTTTTTTGCTTCTTCTGCAAGAGAGACCACACAGATACAAAAGAGATGCAAAATCCCAGTCTGGAGACTGCAGATTAAGTCACACAGACATCTTTACGAGGACACATACCTCTCATAGTGACTATCCATATCTTGTGTCATTCCCATGCCGGGAAGAAGCCGCAGTGGCTCACTCCTCAAGAAAGGCCGGCCAAGCCGTTCATCTTGGGAATGTGCAGTGGGAAACTGCCATCTCGTGGCCAACCACAGGAAATTAGATGGGTTATTTTAGTGCATATGTGAGGGAGGCTCATCTGAAGAAACAAATAATAAATGTAGAATTTCACTGTCCAGTATTTTAATTGCTTCTGTTCTTCATGGGAAATTTAAAACTAAAGCTACGCCCTCCTTTTAAATGGTTGGTAAATTATTACCTTTTTTTTTAGGGTTTAGGTGCATCAGAGTGCATTGTCCTGGAGCTACAGAGTCTGCTACAGTGAGGACTGATTTTGTGTGTAGTTTGTGTTCTTCACCACTGCAGGAAGACATGAAATTTAGAGTACTTGGTGGTAGGATCTATGTAATCTTACTTCTAGATCTGGTAGTTTCCTACTTCTGTTATACAACAAGCAAACAAAATATTTAAGTGGGAAAAGCCCACTCAAAATACACCAGTCTTTTAAAAAGAGATGTTTGCAAGAGAATTAACCTTTTTCTTTGCCTTTGTTTTGAAAGATAAACAAATAGTTGAAATGATTGATGCTAAAATTCTGAATGCTTTGAAAGGATATTCCATTGATAAATCACACTTTAGGATTCAGGCATTTACATTGTTCTTGAGAGGTAAGCTGAACTTTGGAGTTCTGTCAAAAATGTTTTAGAATTGATCTATAATAATCCCTTGCAATTGTAGCTCCATTTTTTTTTCTAAAATGGTGAAAGTCATTATTTATATTGCAGTTCTTTCTGTACTACCCCCATTAATTATAAATTAATTAATTATAAAAGGTAGCTAGGTGACAAAGCAGTGTGCACAGGTGATTGCAGAGTGTACATAGCAAAATTCTTGTGTTACTTTTACACCTCCATTAATTAAAATCCCCTGGCCAGCTCAGCAGTGTATTATTCTAACTGTTGCCTGTTTTTTCCTCCTTTCTACTTCCTTTGGTCATGCTGTTCTGTACTCACTTCATGTATATTTAACATCCTTCCTCAATCTAGCTGTTTTCCACATTCCATCAGGATTTTTGGCTTCTACTACCACTGCCATCCACCACAAACATAAAATTATTTCTAATGTTAATATCTAACTAAAATCACAACTCAGCAATGTACTTCCATTAATTCTTAGGACCCCAAACACAGAGATGAGCAACAAAAAAATCCTCATCCATTTCAAAAGTCTATGGAATTATATGGTTCATTTATTGAAAACTAAATAGAAAGAATGAGTAGTACTAAAGTTATAATAAAAAATTATAGAACAATCTATGGTCAAGATAATTATAGTTGCATGCAGTAAATTTCTGCTGGCTCTAGTGCTCAGTGTGCTTACAGTGTTTCTCAGGCTGAGATTGAGATCTGGTTGGATCTAATTCTCATTTTCAAAAAATAAATGGGATTTAGTTTCTAAAGGTGCACAAAAATATAAAGGTTCACAAACCTGTTTGTGAGTCTTTTTGAAATCTGTGTAGTTTGTATCTCCTTTTTATTGTGTTGGGTTTTTTCTCTGACATTTTACAGGACAGTGACTGATAATGGTGATGCCACAAACTTCAGAGTAGGAAATATACTTGCAAAAAACTATCCATTTTCTTTTCAATGCAGGACTAAATGCATTGTCCCTTTTCTTTATCATGAAATCTGTTTTCCCTAGCCTGGTGTGCCTTCCTTATCTTTTGCACTAAATAATTAAAATTGTATGTTTCATTTTATTCTAGTCCATTATTAATCTGGCCTCCAGCTGTTTTCTGCCAATGTTAAATCATCATATCAAACGTTCAGAATGTGTAGAAGTTTTCTGACCATGTCTTTAAAACTGTTTCTATGCCCTAACATATCTGTAGCTTTGCTCCTCTGCATTTGGTTTTTTATTATTTGCAGATGAACTGGCCAATAAAATGACAATAGGAAACCACTACAGGATTATAGGAATTCCAGCTTGTGTACAAAATGGCCTACAAATGACTGCATGTATAGAAGTCAACAGTGTACAGCTCTATAAACCAAATGGTAAGAAAGTTCCATTAAAAATCGACTTAAACCTTGGAAAACCTCCTAGAAAAAAAATCTTGAGAATTGTTACTGTTTTTTATTATCTAGAGGTCCAGAATACAAAACCACTCAGGGACTTTCCTCTTACAGTCTGAAATGTGTACTTGCTGTTATTTGAGAATATCTGCTTTTGCCCACTTTCCATGCATTGGCAAACTCCCTAATTATGTAGTAGTTCTTCAGCTTCTCTTTCCATCTTCTCCTATCCAATGGAAAGTACTTTGTAATCATATGAAATGAATCTGATATTTCAGTTTCTTTTTCCTTTCTTCTTGTATCAATTTTAACAGATCGTGTCTGCTACCTTTTTAGAAGTAAAATTAAGTGTCAGATGCTTACATTCTGAATTTGTGCTTAATATAAAGATATATTTGTTCTTGGTAAGTTTTTGCATCAACACTCCAGTGGTGATTTGTTCTAACTTACCTGCATAGGTTTCTTTAACGTGTTTGTTCACGTACTTTGTTTCCATTAGATCCTTCTTTTGTCAGTGACAATTTTAAGTATCTGCTCTCACTGACTTCAAGTTCACGCTGGAGGTTTAGTGCTGTCCTGGCCAACATCTTTGCTTCTCAAGTTGTTCCACCAGGCACTTACAATACTCTTAAACTTGCAATATTGCTGAGTCTAGTACAGACATGTGAAAAAGAAAATGCAGATTATCTGGATCTCTTGATTATGACAAGTGACTAGCTAGTAATTGACAGGTAAAGAGATTCTTTTTTTTTTTTTTTCACCTAAATTAGAATTTCAAATCTAGCCTTTTTGAAGATAATAGGATTTGTCTTATATGAAAAGATCTTTGTTTTAAAATAATATACAAGGCTCCAGCTTAGTTAACTACTCAATTTTTATCCCTTGGACTTTTTTGTTTCTTTCACATCACTATAGAACAGAACTTCATTAATTGTAAAACCTCCTAAAACTCTTGTAAGATTATGGTAAGAATTTAACACTAGCACTGTTTTGTAGAGCTCAGATAAAAGCTCATTCTTCTGAAATCAAAACTGAAGGCTGTCCCAGAAGCTGGTAACAAAAAAAAAACGGCTCAACTTTTCAAACCTTGTGTCAATGTAAGCTCTCTCATCACTGATTCCCAGCTATCAGCCTTTTGAATAATTAAGCAGTGTATAAATAGATACTCACGTTTTTATCTCTTTTTCATAAAAGCCATTCATGTAAGGTATCAGAATTCACATGCATCTTTACACATAATCATAAATCTGCTTCTTGTTGTCTTTAAATGTTTTTCACTATGCATTTTATGTATTTACCTATTCATGCAACAATAAACTGTTAACACAATTTTACATACACTGCAGAAAAATACAATGTGCTCAGATTTACATTAATTTAAGCAAGATTACTTTCTCCTTTCATAACTTAAGATCTCTGAAAGGGGCATGCATTTTATTTTCATTTGGAAGCGACTCAACCAATTCATTAATATTTTTGTTGTGAAAAAAATCCCAAAACTTTGATCTTTTTAAAATTTAGTTGTAGAAATTAGTTCAAATTTTTAAAAAACATGAACTGCAAATTTCTTTTCTCCCAGTTTAAGATTTCTTAAGACAAACAGAAATTTTTAAAAAAACGTGAACTGCAAATTTCTTTTCTCCCAGTTTAAGATTAAGATTTCTTAAGACAAACAGTTCAGTGTTTTAAGAATCAAAACATCTGGTTAATATTAAAACAGTTGCACGCTGTAAATCATTGATATTGTAATTTGTACTGTCTTGCATGTGCACAGTGTTCACTATCAGCAGCCTGTCAAAGTAGGCACTTCCTACATATTTCCATTGGTGCAATACTTATTGACTAATTCTTACTAATTTTACTCAGTAATTTTCTCCCAGGTCATATTAGTGGGGCAAACCATGCTCTGACATCTTAAAATCATTAAGAGCCTTTGACTGTGGAACCAGACAGACAATTTGCAACCTCTCTGTACCAAAGAACGTAGTACAGGGGATGAAAAAGATTTTTTATAGCCTCCTTCTCCAAAAGAATTGGAGGGGAGTGTGTAACTCAGGAAGGCAGAGCTTGCAAGTTCCAGCCTTTTATTTTTCCCAGATGGCCAGAATTACTAATCCTCTAAACTTTTAAATCACTGGAAAAGTTTCTGTACAATAGAAAGAGGAGTTAACAACGTGGGGTTAAATTACAAGACATCTTTGACTTCCTGCGATTTACTTCTGCAATCCATGATTTGCCACATGTTTAATCCATAAGAAATAGTGTCTTGATAACAGATATTAGAAAGCAGGCTTGAACCTTTTGTATTTAAACAATTAGTTTTGATGCTGGTTTCATGTTAAGGATTTTTTGTTGATTTTTTTTTAAGTGAGTCTTAATACTTACTAAATTTTTTTAGAAGTTAATAATTTAACAATTTATGACTGACAGAATTATTTAATCCTCCAGGCTTCTGAATTACAGCTTATGTCTTCTGCCCCGTGGCATACGACACCCACCTTGCGGTGACATTTTTCCTTCTGTGTCCAAAGATAAACATGGAACTGGAAGTGCCAGTATTCAAGCCTGCAGCGCTGTGCTGGCCAAGGGTGGCATCTGTTACATAGGAGACTTAAGTTCATATAAAAAGGATAAACTTGAACTTCTACAGTCTGGTAATCTCCCATCTCCTAACAAATGAGGGGACAGAAGTAAACAAATATGCAAATTCAAGGCTGTTTGTTCCCCAGCTTATGGCCCTCAAATGCTGCAAAAATCTTTATGCTGTTTTTAATGGGTCTGTGTAAGACACAAGGACAAAAAAGCCAAGGTCCTGTAAATTTAAATCTGCTACACTACAGACATTCATTAATCATAACAATTCAGCAAAATCATAATCATGACTGATTTCAGATGTGCGTGGGGCTAGATTTTATAACTAAGCTAAATCCATCACGTAACTGATGAATTTTGTCTTATCCTAGTGCTAGAGAGCAGAACAACAACAGTATTTATTCCTGGGAAGAAGTATAGAGAAGAGGCTGACCAACAAGTTACTGTTTCAGTTCAGACCAACTTTTGGTCCTTTGTAGATGTGGACTCTTCCTCAAAGAAAAATATACAAAAGGAGAACTTTCTAATTGGACAGATGGTAAAGCACATGCCTTGCTATGAGAGGAACTGTGCTATAGCTGTCACTGGTGTTTATTTCCACTGATAAAATAATGAAAACAATAAAACTTGTTAGCTTTTTCCAGAAAGTCACAATTTAAGTAACTTTAAATCAAGTATCTTCTAAAATGAGATAGCTTTCCCAAAAATGTAGGTGTCATTCAAACAACATTTTACCAAGTAGTACAGGCAATTCATTAGATAATCTTGCAGTATAAGTGAATATGGGATATTTCAGATATAAAACACTGTGATGCTTCTTTAAGTCAAAAGCCCAAAATAAAGTAATGTTTTCTTTCGATGGATCTTTTCTTTAGGATGTGAGTTTGATTCCAGTTAACCTTGTAGATGGTTTTGGGCTCTTGATCTACAATGAGTTTCCTTCCTGTCGCCTGTCTTCTCCTGTTGTGCATCATACCTTGAAAAAAGCCATTAATCCTGAAGCCATGCTGTACAAAGCCTCACAGCAGTTCAGAACACAGGATTATGAGGAGGTAACAAATTATATGAGATGCATTATATTTGTGAATATCTTACTGGGTTTGGCATCAGAAACCAGTTCTCTCTGCTGTCTGCTTACTTTTAATAATTACTTTGCACCCTTTCCCCCACCATATTTCCACTAGCACCATTTGGATCATTGACAAAAGCAGCTTCAGATCTTGAAAAGGGTCAGTATAATAAATAGTTTGAGAGTGCTTCTGGAAAACATACTAAGTTAACAGTTATACAAGAACAGATCTCCAATATCTGTTTTTGACCAAAAAGTTTACAACCAGTAGAAGATGTTAACATTGAATTCTAATCAAATTGTCAATAGTTGTAGCATAACTAACACATGATTCCCCCTTGGGAGTGTTCAAGGCTAGGGCTGGACATGGCTCTGAGCCACCTGGTCTAGTGGAAGGTGCCCCATTGGAGTAAAGTTGGAACGGGATAGTCTTCCAACCCAAACCATTCTAAAATTTTGTTTACTATCCAAGATGTGTCCTTATTATTATCCTTTTTTTTTTTTTTATTCAGTATAGCCAAATGGTGACAACTGTCTGTACTAGTAAAGCTATTGGTAGAATATATTGTCCAGCCTATATTACTATGGCACTGGTATATGAAAAGGTGTGAAAAAAGGTCAATTCCTTATTTTCCTGTTCAATATTTAAAATGTATGCCCTCTCTCTAGTTTATTTTGTATGCTAGGAATCTTCATGTTGAACTGAGTTCAGAAGCAGAAAGTCTCATTCAGGGCTATTATCTTGCAAGTCGCAGGGTGAGAAGAGATTCCATTCATGGATCAACATTATCAGCCTCTGCACTAAAAATCCTGTATGTCCTACTTTCCATTTTCAAAGAGAAATTCTGCTAATCTGCTCAGGAGCTTGTTCAATAAAAAGCTACATTATGACTCATGTTTTCCAAGGTTCAAGCATAAATAATCTTACTTACTATTTATGACTGCAATTTATTTTATATTTTGACACTGCTAAAAGAAACCAAGTTCAAACAACTTTGCCAGGCAAAAAAAAAAAATCAACCCAGCTATTTATAAAACATGTATCATTATTAAAGCTATCTAGAAAAAAAATGGGATTTAAATATGTTCAGCTTTATTATGGGAGCAAAAGAAGTATTAATGGATAACATGCAAAGTTCCACTTTTTAGCACAAAAAGTTCATGCATAATATGTATTTTGTCAGTGGTAACTACACAGCTGAAGAATGAGAAAAACCACCCCACTTTTAATTTACATGAGTGCTTGATACAGAGCAATACACATTGCATTCATGCCTGCAGTTATTTTTTATTTCTGACATGCTTGTATTGATCCCTTAGGATTTCACTGGCTAAGGCTCATGCCAAGCTCAGTTTAAGGCAGAGAGTACTTGAGGAAGATGCAGTGATTGCCATCTTGTTACTCGAGTCATCGCTGACCCTAAAACATGGTAAATAATGCACAACAGTTCCTTAGCTTGGGTGCACCACTGTCACATTTGTCAGTCTGAAAAAATTCTACATTGATTCTGATAGCAGGTAATTTCAAATCAAAATCCAGAACTTGCACTGCTAAAGATGGGTACTGGGGAAGTCAGTCAGTTTGTCTCAGTGCTGTATGTAACTGAGGCCACAGGCCAGCACCAAGGCTGTCCTAACTGGTTTAGTTAAGGCATTGCTCCTCTAACACTGGCTCACGTTAAACTAAGGGCATATTTCCCTCCCTGGAAAAACCAAAAAAAGGGTTGGAGGTTTTTTTGGTTTATTAAGCATCAGTCATATTTGTTCACAGATTTGGAAACGAGGCAAGAATTATGATCTAGGATTGCATTACTACACAATTTGCATCACAGCTCTTTTTTCCCCTCAAAGTACTGGCAAATATCAAGTCTTACAGCCCAATTTCTTCTTTGCCTAGGCACATCTGCACTATGTGTAGCACCAAATCCTGTATTTCCATTTGACCTCAGTGATGAAAACGCCCTGCAAGAGAGAGATATTTACCTCATGCAGTGTCACCATCAACTGCTGAAGTTTATTGCTGCCTATAGCCCAGGAATTCACATTAACACTAATGAAGAGTAAAAACTCCACTCTAAGTAAAGCCTGAGGCTTTGGCTTTTTGAAGGCTACAGAAAAAAAATCAAAAAAATTACTAAAAAAAAAAAAACAAAAAAATTAGAAATCCAAAATTACTAAAAACAGAAGACAGTTCAGTGATGTTTTACCAAGGTACAAAGCATAGCTGACAGGACTTGAATTACAAGTTTTGTGAGTTGTTTGAAGGCAGGAGGGAAGTCTTCACCCTGGAAAGCCATGGCTTCAGAATACAGTCCCAACCAGAACTTCTCTTCCTGGCTACCACTCTCCATTCACAGCTAAGCAAGGAGTGATTTAGCATTCAGGATTTTTAATGAGACTGCAAGTAAAAAATCAAATCACCAGTTCAGAATCTATGTTTCATTTCAGCAACCTAATGCTACACGGTTTTTTTTGTTGCTTCCTTTCAAATGTATCACCCAAATGGTTAAGGAGTTTTAACATTAAAAATCTTTTCATAGTTTAAGTCAGTCTTTACTTATTCATGGTGTATAGATTTTGAAATTTATAAAAGTATTGCCATATTGCTTCATGCTCTGTGTCTTTTTTTACACTACAGCAACATGAGACTAGACAAGGATGCCAGGTGCTCCTGCAGCCAAAGCCCAAACAAAACAAAAAAGCCTACAAAACAAACAAACCACAAAAGAAACCCACCAAACCCCCCAACCTGCAAAACCCAGTGTTTCCACATTACTTTATATAGACTGCAAGGGATAGTAAAGTGCTACAGTTAGGTAAAAGAATATTAGACAACATGGCAGGTAACTCAATGGGTTCAGCTGTACCTCACTGTAAAAACAAATGAAGAATGTGTGGTAGGGCATGAGGTGTTTGGAGCACCCTATGCTTCCCCAGCTATGGCCTTTCCCATGTTTCATCTTCCTATAGGCTATAGCACTAGCCATAATCCTCAGCAAGCCTTGCACCCAAGAGACACACCTTAAATAAAAAAGCTGCAGTAAAATTGTCCAGACTTCCTGTCAAATCTGGACAAGCTGAATAATTAAGGCTTGTGTTACTCCTACCCAAGATGTCATGCAGCAGGATCAGAGTTCTATTGCTCCCATAGCCTCAACAAAAAAATAAGCTACTGAAAACAGAAATACAAGATTTTATTCATACCCACTACTAACACTGTAAACAGTCATTTAGACAACACAGATTTTCCCACATTTTAATCTTTGTCTTATTCACTTTTGATCCATTTATTTGATACACTCAAAAATTCACAGTAAGTTCTAAGACTGCCCAGAAGGTCACTTCTCTTTATTCATTTTCAGTGAACAGCTACTCCCCTGCTGTACTATGGAACCAAGCAGTATTTCTGACGAGCAGGAAGGGCAATGCAAGCATTTCCAAGTGCATTAGAACTCCACATTCCACGCTGCTGCTTTCAAGCTAAGAGCAATAACAATAATGAGTTAGTTTCCTGTACCCCTAATTAATCTTACACAAAGGCATTACCCTCACTGGCATTTCAGATCTCAAGATACACATCAAAAAACATTCAGATGGGTAAACGGCAAAAGTCTCATCATTATGCCAGAAAAATTACTCGTTAAGGGTAGACTGAAAGAATTCCTTCATAAATCACTACTTTTGAGAAGTAATATTAATGGATTTTGAGAAGTAATATTAATGGATTTTCTGCAGAAAGAGCACAACATTTTATCCTTGCTTCTCCCCAGTTTCTCCCATGAGCTCTTGAAAATTGGAAGACTTGTAGCAGTAAGTACCACAAGGAAAGGATGGTAGCCAACATGGCCAGTACAGGTTTTCCCTGGATGGCAGTACAGCCTGCAGGAGCCTGAGCACTGTGACAGTAAAAAAGCAACTCACCTCCTTAAACAGCCACACTTCTACAAGTGGTGGACTCTCCTCTGGCCCTATGTGCTCACACAAGGCTGGAAGACAGTGGAGGTGATCATCTGATGTCACAGAACCTTGGAAAAAAATATATAAAATCAGAAATTACAGGAGCAAATCAATCTGGAAAAACCTATTGATTAGCTGGCACATCAGATATAGAACACTGCTCATCACAACATTCAGTTGGGTAAACGGCAAAGGGTCATCATCACTATGCCAGCAGTTTCCTGCCTATAGAAAGCTGCTTTTTCCAGGTACTAAATACAAGGGAATTGGTTAAGTTTGTCTCAAGAGTTGTACTTCCAGAAGTGAAGCAGAGCCTTCATTTTAACTGCTAAGCACAGAACAGATTGAGTACAACCAAGAGAAAACAGCTCTGTTTGGGCACAAAAACGCAGGTCCCGCTCTTACAATCCCCAAATGCCAAGTATCTTTCTATAGGTAAAAATCACTACCACAGTCACCTTTGCCTTTGGAATAGATTCCAAGACTGACACAGTTGAAGTGCCAGCATGGATTGTATCTGAACATACTATTTTTCACTTAATTCTCGCGTTTCAGCTAACATCCATGAATTCTTTAAATCAGAAGTCATGTTTCTCCAGTAAAAAACTAGGTTCTCTGATACAAGCCTCTCCCTTTTGACTCCTTTGGGATTCTTGAATTGCACTGGCTTTGTTCTGGAGAGCAAGTCTTAGGAGATTTTATAGTTGGCATAGTACCTTTTGTTAAGATTTCAATCTCTTAACCCTACATATAATCAATTTTCTCTTTTTTCCATCTGTAACGGACATTGCAAGCCATTAAACAGCTTCAGAACTCTTGACCTGCACTTCACGATGCTTCCCTCAACATCTTTAAGTACAATAAGAAATACTTACTTCTTAGCTCCAGAATTCACGTGGCATCTTTCTGCTTGTGAGGCATGGCAGAGTACAGACTGAGGATTTCCAAAGCCAGCAACAAACTCATCTTGAGCTTCACTTTCTGCCTAAAACAATGAAAAAAAAAGATGTTTGATTCAGAGAGCTCCTGCTGAGCCAGCAGCAGAAAGCATTAACACTTCTTTGGGAACAGTAAGCCATACAAGAAACATGAACTCCATGTTCTCATGCAATTACATGGGACAGAGCATCAGCTGAGATCAAAGTTAAGTAGAGGCATGACCATTTTCCTAAAACAAGCTCCAGTGAGAGGAATGACTAATTGCAGGACAAGTACAGTGCTCCTAATGACCAGCCAGGCTGGGGAGAGGAGCACCCTGGCAAGGTACAGCCTTTAACCCAGGTTCACATGCAACCCTCTGGGGACCTCACTGATGTTTCACCACCAGCTGAACTGAGGTCAGCACTCAGTGCAGTCTGGAATGCAGGAGAGCATTATCACAGAGGCTGCTGAGACTCCTGGGGCTCTGTCCCTGCCAGACCCCACCAGTTTGGATCCGTGCCTATAACGTGAACAAAGGCATAGTCTAGGTCACCTCACAGCCCTCGCCCAACTCCCTAAAGGAAAAAAAAGGTAATTTATCTTTTGAATTATGACAGGCATTTGCTGATGAAAACGATCTGTCAGCGAAACCAAGTGTCCCTAAATGTCCAATCTGTCATTCCTTTCAAGACTTGATGAGCCAAGAGACAGCTCCAAGTATCCAGCCCGTGGCACACAGTAATTAAGTCCATCTCGGTCTCCCATGCACCGCTCTCCTGGGCAGCCCATGTGGCTGGAGTGACTGTGCCACGCCAGGGCCCAGGGGAAACACAGGCACAGCTACAGCAGCGTGACAATCACAAAAGTCACAAAGTGACAACTTTGACTGCTTGGAAAAGCACCTGAAACCATCCCCGCAATTCCTGAGATTACAGCCATTGCTTTGACCCGCCATGTCGGGATTGCTCACAGTAACCACCCAGGAGCATTTCCAATCCCTCTGAGAAGGGCAGAAATCACTCGACTGTTCAGACGAGCACATGTCTGCACTGCCGAGGCAGGACCTGCTCCAAGGAGCACGGCGGAGGTCGGGCGGCGGACGGATCACACGGATCGCCGCGGCGGGATCGCGGAACCACAGAACGTTAAAGGCCTGGAAGGGACCTCAGCGACCATCCAGCCCCAATCCCCTTCCTGCCACGGGCAGGACACCGCCCACTAGACCAGACTGCTCAAGGCCTCATCCAGCCCGGCTTTACACGCCACCATGGCCTCGGGCACTCACAACCTTCCTGCTCCAGAGGCCGCACCACCCTCACAGCAAGGAATTTCCTGCAAAACCCAACCTAAATTTACCCTCCTTCAATTTGTACTCATCAGGCTCGGCGGCCGCTGCTGCCGCTCCCACGCCCGAGGCCGGGGCACGGCTCCCAAGCCACGGATCAGCACGGGCACGCCCGGCACTCCCCGTTCCCCGGGGCGCCCCTCGCCAGCCCGGGATCCGCCGCCAAAGGGAGCCCCCAGCCACGGGCACATCCACCCCCGCACCCACCGAGGCACGCACCCCGGCTGGAGGCGGGCAGGCGCGGCCGCTCCGGTTCCGTCCCCGCAGGAAAGGCCGATTCCCCCCGGGATCCCGCTAAATACGCGGCGGGGCGGGCGCGGCGCCTTCCGGCTGCGCGCGCAGCGGGACACGGCGGGAGCGGCGAGGGCGGGATTGGGATGGGCGGGGAAGGCGATCCGTGTCCGCAGGCGCTGCGGGAGCTCCTGTGCCGGGCGGGCAGCGCCTCTGCCGTGGCCCCGGGAGTTCGCCTGTGCCAGCCCTCCGAGGGAACAGCTGTGATGACGGTGACCGAAGTTTGCCGAGATCCTTTAGGTTCCTCCATGAAGAATGCCAGCTTTTGATAGAAGTGTATCTACGTTTTGTTAAAAATAGGTTAAAAACTTGTTGTGAAGTAGTTAATAATTGTTCAGCATGTACTGTTAGTTTGGTGTTATACTGTAAAAGGGATTAAATGGGTAGTTGTGTAGTTGTAAGAAATACGGTACTCGGCGTACCGTAATACACACAAGCGAAGCGCACCACTCCCCAAGCAAAACGAGGCACCGGGACAGAACTGTAATGGGAAATCAAGCGCCAAAAACCTTCATGCAAGTGAAGGATCCAAAAAGAAACCAATCCAAAGGAAAATAAAAAACCAAACAAAAAAAAAACCCCAACAAACAAACAAACAAAAAAACCCCACTACACAGGATAAAAAGGGCCATCTGACCCAGGGAAGCTGTGCCGCTCCACCTGGAACATCGGGGACATCGCTGCTGAGGAAGACCCAGCGCCGGCGCCGCAGCACCCTCGACGGGATCGCTCCTGCTCGGCCCGCGGGCCCCCTTGCTTTAGGCCTTTCTTTTTATTATAATAAATGCTGAAATCACTTTAGTACCGGGAGCCTGGTCTCGTTTATAACATTTTACAACTGTGTTCCTAGGCACGTGTGTATTCCTAGTGTTAAATGCCAAACTCTTGTGTTTCAGTACACGAGGATATGAACTGTTCCTAGGAAATGTAGCGCTGGGACCAAACATCAGGTCTGAAGCAAGTGGGTTCAGAGGATCTCTTGTTATCCTGCTGTGTAAATTTCTAGAAGATAAAAGCTCTTGCTCTGGTCAAAGGTAGCGTGTTGCCTAAGCTGGTGTCTTCTGGAAGGAAAGGCATAATTCTGATGCAGAATAATCTCTCTCAAGGAAAAGAAAAATCCCACTCATAAATACAGGGAACTCTTCTTATCTGAAAAACTGCTGTTGTAATTTTGCATGTTCTTATAGGCCTGTAATAATTCCATAAAATGCTGAAAAAGGGATACAGCTACAGTAAGTAGCTACAGTGCTTGCTGCTCTGATTCTCTGCCTGCAGAGCACTGTAAATATTTAGTTGTAAATACTGCAGGGCTTGTGGAGGGCTCCAGATTTTACCATACTTTTTTTTAACAGAAGTTGTTCTTGGTAGTAGTTTGGTTTTTCTTTTTTCCTAAATGTAATTTTAAAATTTGAAGTCTTCAGAAAGAAGACAACATCTATAAATTCAGAATATTATCATGTACAATGAGAAACTGATACAGGTCTTGCAGCTTGCTTGAGTCTGAGATGTAGTCTCTGTGCCATGCATTCATAGCTTTCCATGTTTTTAACCCTTGTTGCTACAGCATTTTTCATTCTTACAAAATAAACTAGATTGGAAAAAAACTATTGGTCACCTTTGACTGATGACCACCTTGTCAATTTGGTTATGGTACTAAGTGGTATATCCTGACTTTTCTTGAACAGCTCCAGGAATGGTGACTCTGCCACCTCCCTGGGCAGCCCATTCCAGTGCTTCACAGCCCTTTCTTTGAAGAAATTCTTCCTGGTATCCAAATGGCCCTCTCCTTCTTGGGGGTCAGAATCTTTCAATGCCATTTAAAGGAATAAGCCTTTTAAAAACACTGAGGATTTTTTTTTCTTCCTGTTCTTGAATACTGTCCCTTCCAGGTATAATATCTTGTTAAGAGCTCAGAATACTGCAGGGGCTGTTGAAAGCTCCAGATCTTACTGTACTGTTTTTATAAAAGCTGCTCTGGCTAATATTTTTCTTTTTCTAAATACAATTTTTAAATTTAAACCATTAAGCTTTCAGAAAGAAGACAGCATTTATAAATGTAGATTATTATAGTGTACTATAAAGGTAGAATATTATAGTGTACAATGAGAAACTGCTAACATATTTTGCAACTCAAAGTATATAATATTCACTGAATAATATTTAATAGAACATTTACCTCAGCAATAACAAACCATATGAGAAGTACAGTGTTTTACAGAACAGATATAACAGATGACATTTGTGCATTTAGTTTCAGCATCTTTGCCTAAATAGAGATGTTTAAGTGAACAAGCCAACACTTTGGGTTCCCCTGCTCCAACACGTGAACCCCTTTAATGAAATGGGCCATGGTGTGGTGAGCAGACACGTGGCTGTGCCAGGGAGCAAACACAGGCTGAGCCCGTGACATGCAGCTCGGTCCTGCGGGTGGGTACAAGCAGTGCCCAAATTGAGCAGCACTCTGTGCAGGGGGGACAGCTCTCTGAGCACATTTTTACTCCATGAACATGCATCCATATTCCCAGCAATAGCTACAAAAGTGTAGGACTATCCGATGGCTGGAGCCCTGGCCTGACAGCTTTAATCAGGGCATTTCTGCCATCGGCTTTAAGCAGTGGAGAAAGTCTGTGTGGGATTACAGTTGCTATTTTTAGCCTTGCCCTTCTCTTTTCACCTAAGCCTGTTTTGCCCTGTACTTGGCCTTTAGCACATAACTCCTCCTCTCTTTTCTTACAGGGCTTGTCCCAGAGAGGACAGGGATACTTCACTCTGCTGGCTGCAGTCACCACCTCCCACTCCCCCTCATTCAGATCGCAGCAGTGATAGAAACCATTGATGTGTCACGTTAACTTAATGAGGTATTAATTACATTTAAGAATCAATTTCTTTTCCTCACAAACAGCATTTCAGGAATTACAGTTTGTCTGTAGATACTGATTTTTTAACTTAAATATATATTTATATAAGGTGTAATAAATAACCATTTTTTTCAAAGCAAGAAGGGAGGTCAGATCTGTGAAGATGTTGATGTTTCCCCACGGTTTGTGCTGTCTCCTTGTGCTGAGTGAGTCAGAAACTGTCCCGTGGCTCCAATGTACAGCCTGGAACGCATGGGCCACTTCTGCAAGAGAGGAGACAAGCACAGCACTGAGATCTTTGCACTGCAGTTCTCAGCAGAGATTTGATGGAATCACAGTACAAGAAAACAGGAAACTGTTGCTATCACCAAACAGTTCCTCTTTTGTCATTCGATGGAAAAATGTTTGGAGCTCAGCCTGGATATTTGCTTTGGTAATTAATTGTGAGGCACAGCTCCCAACCCTGCCATGCCCCAGCAGACAGGGCCAGGCCTTGCTAGCCAGTCAGCCTAGCTCAGTTTGTGTCACAGATGTTCTGTTAGTAGAATAAAACAAATAATTCCTTCTCAAGGCACCAGGGATGCTACAGGGATCCACCTGCACCTGCAGGGATTGCAGCCCCACGTGCACACCTGTCCCTGCTGGCTGGGCCCCACAACACCACAGGGGCTGCTGCTGAAGGCTGTGAGTCTGAGGGAATTTAATGTAATTGCACCTTGGCAGTCCTCAGCACTGTCAGCATCTTGCTCTTGTCAGCTCCAGCTGTTTCAGATGACACAGTTCATCTTTACACTCACTGATTTTTGGAATCATCAGTTACTCTTGGTGTTAAGTATTTATTCTGACAGCTTGAGTTTGTAACCCCAGCAGGTTTCTCTCTGCAAGCAGCCCTGTGGTGTGGTGGCCACAGCGGGGCACCCAGAACTTGGGAGGGAGCACCCAGCTCTGTTTCTCTGCCAAGATCACTATTAGAGAGGTGGATGCTTGAAGAGACAACTTGTCACATACATTGGATGCAAAAACACCTGAAATGCAACCAGCATGTTGTTCCAAAAGAACAGGGTTTTTTTAAGACTCTTTTGGGAACAGACTGGCACCTTTCCTGTGGGTAAGGGGAACTTAATAATACTGCAGACAAATCTCAGCTCTTCTGTTTAAAGAACTAAAGCAGCAGCATATTCTCCCTTAGAAAGATTGTACAAGCTCATTCAGCAATTTCATTTCAAGTGTGATGTTAAGAGTTTTTCACCAATAAACAATCCAAGTTCAAAGTCATTCACCATATTTTTCGTTCAGTGTACAAACAACAGTACTTGAATATTTAACTTCCCTCACTATTTACATTTACTTAATCTATCAGTTTAGTTAAAAACTTTAAAGGTTGTCTCATATCCTGCATTTTGGGGTTTTTGACTCATTCATCAAATATAGTGATAAAAAAATAATTGCTTAAGTGAATCCAGTATTACTCTCTTCCAGTAGCCTGAGAAATGAGCATCTGGATCATTTAACTGCTGTAATAACTATTCAAAAGTATTTTTCTGCCTGCAGTAGTTGGCAGCTGGATAAAAAGTACCGTAAGAGACCTGTGTCCTTTCACTCTGACTGAGGGAACTAACAGAAGCTATTTTGAACTTATTTTGAAATACATCACAGTATTTTTTTACTTAAATTACAGTCATCTTCTAATTGATATAGAGGTTTTGCTTTCTTTACGAGTCTGCTAATCATTTAAATGGCCTCAGAAGCCTACGTTCAGATCATACTGTAAAATATAGCAACCAACATTGTGAACAAGGAACTCTCTGTGAATTAGGCACTTTTTAGAAATTAGAGATTACTTCACAAATTCATCTTAATTAAATCATTCTGAATTCAGACTCTTAAAAAAGAAAAGAAAACACCCCAGTGCTCTAACTCCCTCCCTGTGAGCAGAGCCAAAGAAAACACCCCGTGGTGTCTGAGCCCCATCAGTCAGTGAGCACTGCATTTGGAAACAGCTTCCAGCCCGGTCCTCTCCCAGAGCAGCTCCCCTTTCTCATCCCTTCTGCATTGCCGTGACTTTTTTTGGCAATGGGAAGAGCATATACCAACCAGAGAAATGCTTCAGAAGAGCACCTTCATGGCAGTAATTAACACACAGCTGGTAATTAACACTGCTGTCGGCGCTGGGGCAGCAGCACCAAAGCAGGCTCAGCGCTGTGGGACAGCGTCACCTCACCAGTACACCCCTCACAGCAGGATCCAGTTATGGCTGTGTTCGAGGCTCCCAGGACAAGGGAAGAGATGAGAATCTTGATTCTATGTTCCAGAAGGTTGATTTATTACATTATTATATAACATATTCAAATGCTATACTAAAACTATACTAAAAAGAATAGAGATAAAGGATCCCTCAGAAGGTTGGAAAGGAATACAAAGGAATGAATAACAAAATCTCATGACCACTCACAGCCTGAACACAGCTGGATCTTTGATTGGTTATGAAGTAGAAACAACTCACATGGACCAATCAAAGATGCACCTGTTGGTAAACAATGTCCAGACCACATTCCACAGCTACCAGATAGTTATAGTTTACATTTCTTTTCTGAGGCTTCTCAGCTAGAATAGGAGAAAAATCCTAGCAAAGGATTTTGGAAAAATATCATAGTGACAATCCAGTGTGTCCACGAGGATCACCAAGTTTTCCACACAGGGACCAAGAAGATGTCCAGTGGTGCTGACCTTCACTTCCAAAAACCAGGTTTGGATCTACACGAGATTTGATATTTTGGTGGAAAGTTCCTGAAGGTGGAGGAGCAAAGCTCCAAGGTATTTCCATCAGACCCCTAACCCCTAGGCCCAGTGTACACAGCCAGAAGGTGGTGGCTGCCCCTCAGCTCCCCTACCTTGACCGGGTGGAGGTACCCATCCCCGCGGAGTGTGCCCAGGCCCTCTCCCGGCGGCTCCTCCTCATCCTGCAGGCTGCGGGTGAGGTGCGCGATGTAGGTGGTGGCCAGGAGGAGCACGTCCAGCTTGGAGAGCTTGGTGTCGGGCGGCACGGAGGGCAGCGTCCTCTGCAGCTCCAGGAAGGCGTGGCGCAGGGTCTGCACGCGGCTGCGCTCGCGGGCGGCGTTGGCGGCGGCGGGGCGGGGCCGCCGAGCTGCTGCCGCCCGAGCGCGGCGGCGCGGCCTCGGCCCCGGCCCCCGGGCTGCCCAGCTCCTCGCTGCTCTCTGCCAGGCGCCCGCAGTCCATCGGGGGAGCGTCCTGCAAGCAACAAGAGCATCTCTGAGGTGAGCAGCACGTTCCGAGAACAAGGATGGTCAGAAGCGCAGGCACTAGCTGTGCTAGGAAAAGCTGGAATGCAGCTCTGTGAGCCGCTTTTCCACTCGCTGCTTACGAATTCAGCACCACACAGGGGTACAGAACAGAAGTTAAAATCTTCACAACGATCAGTATTTGATTTTTTTGGCGGTGTTACACAGAGCAAATTTTTTGAGTCACTCATAGCCCAGAGATGACTTCTGAAAAAACCCAACAGGCACCACACAGAGGCACTGCCACAGTGGTTTCCATTTACAATTAACTAAAATTTAGGCTAAAGGCAATTTTGAAAACTCTATAATGTGGGATGTGGAACTGGTAGTATATTGTCTATTTTCGCTGCAATCATTTTATGAGCAGTCTTATAGGTGATCAGTGCTCCATGGACTATGGAAAGAAAAATATCATCTTCAAATGCATCAGTAAGTGAAGCCACAGAGCACGGACTCAGTTTTTGAAGGACAAAACTTGGCCCATAATTTTAAAGGATCAGGAACTGACTTCTCCTGTCATCCCACCCCTAACCTTACTAAAGAAATTGCATGCTTAGCCTTTCTCATCTTTCTCATCTACATTTTCAAACTTCAAAAGAATTTTGTAAGGTATTTTGGCCATTGGGGGGCAAGGTTGTCCCACCCCTAACCTTACTAAAGAAATTGCATGCTTAGCCTTTCTAATCTACATTTTCAAACTTCAAAACAATTTTGTAAGATATTTTGGCCATTGGGGGGCAAAATAACCTTTTGAAAACATTAAAAAAATGATTTAAAGAAAAGCTGAAAACAGTGACCTCAAGATCTTTTCTCAGCTTTTTGTAAAGCTGGTCAGTCAGCTCTGCCCGTAATACAGCTCACAGTCCTTTAATTCATTCAGTTCCACTGAAAAATGCCATTCAATCAATATTCCCCAAAGTCCAGCACTCCTTAGCTGGAATAATACCTGATCCTGTTGTCCTCAGCCAAGCAGCCCTTGTGGGTGTCCCAGAGCCTGGTTTTCACGTCTTAGGAGTGTGTGTTCTTCCTGTGACAGCCTGGCTAGACAAGGGCAGGAACAAGTTATTAAACCTTTTAATTTCATCCAAATACTGTTCAATGAAAAGTTTAAATAACATTGATGCACATAAGTGACTGAATATATACATTTACAAGAATTAGCTCTTGATTTTGCAGAGCATTTCAAGCACACACTGAGGTCAAAGATTTCTGTCAAAGATAAGGAAAGGATTCTAAATAACTTTTTTGCAATGCTATAATTTGATGGTATTTAGAATATATTTTTATTGTTATTATTTTGGGTAATTAATTGTGGTTAATTTGCTGTTAATGTGGCTCACAGAGTATTATCATGTAATGGTCACTTTAGTAGCAGTACAATTTAGACTGAAATTATTTGTGAAATATTCTATGCACATTATAACTCTAAACCAAAGGAAAAAAAATCTCACTATTCTTTTTATTGTGGTGTTTATGATCAGTATAAAATAAATCTTACATTAAGACTCCATGAGCTTATCTTGAATGAGGGCTGAAAAATGGTCCTTACATTGATTGTTGCCTCTAACTTAAAAAAAAAGTCATTATATGCTTTTTTGTTGGTGTTTGTTCTTTGTGTTAAGGCATAGTCAGATCTGGATGCATTTTAGTTTTTAAAAAAATCATAATTGTGGAGATGGACATCAAGATAATTACAATGATCTTCACTGGCCAAAGAATCTAACAATTTATGTTTAACAGCAGGATTTCTCACTGTCATCCCATCAAAATCCCCCTGGTAGGAGAAAGTCTTCCCCAATTACTGGAGAAATCTGGATTAATGAAGGATAGGGACAGACTGGGTTAGTGAAAATAGATGCTCCTCTACTGAAATACAGGACTAGGGCTGGTTTACACACATTTTGATTTTGCTGTGCTGGTGTATAACCACATGTAGAACTGAAATGACTTCGAGTGACATACAGTATGTAGTAATGCACGTACCTAAAAACCTCATCTCCTGGGGTGCCCTTGGAAACAGGAGTTTCTGGTTTAGGAGCTTCACATCTATATGAAATCAAATCCTGGGCCTGTGGAAAAAAAAGTACAAAATTTCAGCTGCAGAAATTAGAGATTTCACTCTGAATTAAATTTCCCCACTGTCAGACTTCCCATCAAACAAAAACAGCAAATGGCCTGGGAAAATCTGGTACACAAAACAAAGTACATATGTGTATATGTACAAAACAGTGTACATATGTGGAGCCAAATCATAGTGGTTCCTGGATCTACAGCCAGGATCACTTCTGTTTCACACTAGGACTGGGCAGCATCCCTCTTCTCCCCGGAGTAATCAGGACATCCATTCCAGGTGTTCAAACTCAGGCATTGCTAAAACATCATGGTCCAAAAAATGCTGCTAAAAGTTAAAGTACATAAAAAGCCTCTGGGCAACAGTCATTTCCCTTTAAAAATTTTACAAGCAAAAGATTTGGTTTTTTAAATAATCACAGTAAGCAAGCACCCACTTGCCACCTGGTATGCTGAGAGAGCTGAGGACAGGGCTGTGAAAGTAAGTTATTTATGTTGTTTCTAAAGCACTTCTAGTGCAGAATACTGCAATAATGCATTTGTGTTTTTACATGACACTACAAAGACATGATTTCTGTAAAAGACATATTTTACAGAAAAAAAACCCCAGCACAACATTTATTTTAGTCTTATATTCTGTGTGAATGAAATGGCGATGAAGGCAACCTGCCCACACAGACAGGGAAAAGATGGAAAACGCCAGAGCAGAGCGCACAAACCAAAAACAAACAGGTGGAAGCCTTAGACAAACTTTTCCCTTGCTCCTTAGGGGGCAAAATACAGCGAATCTGAATTATTTTGCATAGATAAAAAAAAAAAAAGAAAAAAAAAAAAAAAGAAAAAAAAAAAAAAAGAAAAAAAAAAAAAAAGAAAAAAAAAAGAAGAAAAAAAAAGGCCTTGCCCTCCGTGTAACTCCGGTAACAAGTAACGAAATCCCTTCCTCCGGAGCAGAGGAACGGGAACTTGCCTGTGGGTGTGCGGGGGCAGCTCCGGCGCTCACGGCCCCGCCGCCCGCTGCGTCCCGGTCCCGGTCCCGCGTCCCCGGTCCCGCGTCCCGGCTGCCCGGGAGCTGGCGGGACCCCGCGGTGCCCGGCCGGGGATGAACTTACCGCTCCCGCCCGCTGCGGAGGTTCCGGCGCCCCGGCCCCGTCGCGCCCCGGTGTTTATAGGGCGTCGCGGCCGGTGGGCGCGGCGGGGCCGGGTCGCACCTGGCCCCGGGCTCCCCGCTCCAGCCCGGGCTGCAGCGACCGCCCCTTCCCGGGCGGGTGGGTCATCAATCACGGAGCTGTCGGGCGGCATCGCCTCCCGCTCCCCTCGCCCCCCGCCCTCCCCCGCGCCGCCGCTCGCCCCGCTCGCGCTGTTTTTCTTAGGATAAAGTAACGGTTTTGCTGGAGGAGAGAAATTTAATCGCTGGGCTGGGAGCTCAGGCGATGCCCTGCTAAAAGCAAGCCCTTTCTCCTCGCTCCGCCGCCGCATCTCCGGCTCGCGGATGTTCCCGGGCGGAGCGGGCTCCCCCGGGCCAGGCTCCGTCCCGCAGCCGCGGGGGGAGCGGGTCGTGGCTGCCCCGGCACCGCTCCGGGGACCGGCCACACGGGATGGGAACACGAACGGGATGAGGCCAGCCCGGACAGAGAGGGGATTTAACCGGGAGCGGGGAGCCATTAAAAATCAGTAACGCTAATGAGAAGGGACAGTCAAAATAAATACCGGGGTATGGAATTAGCCCAGAATAACATTTTGAACGAAGCCCGATTGTGCGATAAGAGAGACACAATAAATCAAGCCTCGGGAGCAGTGGAAAAACAAAGTCTGAGCGATTCGTTACCGGGTTTGCAGCCAAGAAAATTAAGGACTTAAAGTTTAGCGGTAATTGGAAGTCCCGGGAAGGGCCGAGCCCGGTGAGGAGCCGGCGGGGCGGGAGCGGCGCAGAGGGAGCCGGACACCTGCCCTCAGCCCCGGCCCGGCAGCGCCCGCCGAGCCGCCAGCGCATCCCAGCCAAACTCTCCGAACGGGAATTCCCCCAGCGCCGCTCCGGGGGAACGGGCCGGGGCTGCCCGCGGGCCGGACCCGGCCCCGCCCGGCCCCTCCGCCCCGCCACCATTGCTGCCCTCTGGGTGACATCCACAGCCCTGAGGAGCCGCCTCAGGGCCGGGGAGGGCTGGACGGCAAGGAATGCTGTCGGTTCTGAATTTAAGCACTAAATTCTAAGTTCAGTACTTAAATTCATCTGTAAATCTAAGTGCTGGAATTGTGACTCAACGTTTACCTTTGCCTGGTGCTGGCAGCCTCGGTGGGGTTTTCCCTTCAGCCATGAGGAGCTACTCTGACAAAAGCTACTCTTGTATGTTCACGGGGGCGATGATGGACTTCACCGGCACCACAGATCATCCTTTGGCCTCGCGGGTGCAAAAGAACGCACACTGCTTCTCTGGAGGACCGTGGAGGAGCCTCCAAGCAGCCCTGCTAAGCCAAGGTTTTTTTGGCCTCAAGGTTTCCAGGGCTGCCTCCAGCCCAAGTGAGTGTTGCTGAATCCTTTCTGCAGACAAAACCTCTTAAAAATGCACTCGACAGACATCCCTCCACTCAATCAGCCTCTGGGGCTCAAACAAGCAGTTCTTGAACATATCCTTAAGCTTGTACTGAAAACACTCTGACTCTGTGGTGTGATGTGGAAGAACTGATCCCAGACTCCCTGGGGAGCAGGGAGATTTGCCTTCCAGCCTCAGTTCCACTGGGGCTCTTCTGTCATTTTGTAAGTGCCAAACACGCACTGACTGAGACCAGCACCCAGCTCTGGGGATCGGCTCTGCCACACCCCAAGCAGGGTTCTCGGTCTGCTGCCCACCCAAAAAATGCCTACTTGAGGGGGACTTCTCCTCACTAGGCTGTGGGATGCTCAACTATGTCACTGACAGAGAACTTAGCAGCAGGTGTCCCAACACCCTGAGACTTCCCAGCCACCCTAAGTTAGCAGACTGTGAGTGCTGTGCTCTGCTCTGCTCTGATTGGATTAATGGCACAGTGTTTTTTTGGAGTTTCCCACTGTACAGAGTTCTGCCTCAGTGCAGGAAATCCAGTGGAAGGCGTTGGAAGAGAAGTGGTGGTGGAACTCCCATTGCCATCTTTGGACAATGCCAAATCCACCTTACTGCAGAGTGTGATTAGGGAGATGGCACAGTAAGAAACTGAGCAGTGTTTGGAGACACCATTCTGGCTGCTAGCCTTGTTACCAAAAAAGGGGTGCTTTACACACAGTTTGAAAATCCAAAGAGATAGAAATGTAGAAATAGTTGATGTTTGCTCCATCAAGACTTTCTCCCATCAGATGACACCTCCTGTGTTACAAGCACAAAGACATCCAGTAATTATTTTCTTATACCAACCCACTATTTCAATCTAAAGCTGTAACAAATGGCTGCAGCTGTTTCTTCTTTCCTAGACAAATGACTGAGAATTACTTTTCCTGCCTTACCTTCCACAGTATATCTCAAATCTGAAAACTGCCAGAGTCACAGATTTCCAGTGTGATTTAGGTAAGAAGAATTCTACCAGAGACAGAATGATGTTTTTCCAGCTACACTCTGCTCCCTTTATGTCAAATTAGTTTCTGGTGTTTTGGCTACAATTCAGCACAAACATTCAGGGTATTTCTTTCCAATTTGTTAATTTTCTCCCATTCCTGTTTCTGTATAAGGATTTCTCAAGTGTGCTTGCCTGCTGGTATGGTGCAGCAGTTGTTGGTGCTTCTGACAGAATCTAACAGAAATATTGCTTGTCTGAGTAAAACAGCTCCGGCAGGAACCACACACAGATTGTGTCTGGTCAGGTCCCACAGAGTCCAGCTGTAGCCTGGGAACAAATCAAAGGCAGGACACAGCCACAGGAGAATAAAAATAAGTTGTAGTTCACAACTTTTGCTTCTTGGGGAAATCTTAGCATAATGGATTCCAAGTCCAAACAAGTATTTTGAAATTTTTCAGTTAAATACTTTTCTCCATTTTTTGCAAATGCCATGTTGATAATGTGCTGTAGAACCATAGCATATTCCACAGTTATGTTAAATATGTCATATTACAGTGAGTCAATACACTTTTTATAGCATTTTCTCAGTAGTAGTTACTTTAAAAATTACTTTTAAAATTATTTTTAAAATATGTATCAGAAGGGCTCCATTCTGGGGGTGTGTATGTGTACATAAGTGTTAGACCAGGGTATCAAGAGTTCCTTAGGGCTTTGCTGTAGCTAGACTTGAGTTGCTTGGCTGTGGGATTCTCTCTGTGAAACTCCATGGCACATGATGCATCGGGAGTAATTAATTCAGGTCTTCAATGTTTTATTTATCGTACAATAAATTAAAATCTGTAATCCAGAAATACTCATAATTTATGAAAAATATGCCATGCTCTAGGTGGCTTACACAGCATAACCCACATAAACAAATAGTAACAATCCATTAAATCGTTTTAAATGGGTGTGTGTGAGGCAGAGGGAAGTGTAAGATGCAAAGATAACACCACGATATAGAGATCAGGCAGTGACTTCCTAATGTGCTGCTTTGAGTCAGCAGTCAGCAGCTGACACTGTGAACATGCTCATCAACAATTTTGACATTCTTCTTTGGAAATTGCTTTAAAGAATCAACCTTTTTTAATGTTTGCTTTTTTGTCCTTCTCGACCTGAATATCATTGTGACTACAGCTAGAATAAGAAGTATTGTGCTTGGTTAGCACTGATTTCAGTAAGGGAGTAACAGCTGCACATCTGAGCTTTATTTCATGTTTGGAATGTTCTGATTTTGAAGGCAAATGATGCACCAGCCTTATATACTGCTTTGGGCTGGGGTAGAGTTGATTTTCTTCACAGTGGCTGGTATGGGGCTGTATTTTGGATTAGCACTGAACACAGGGTTGATAATCTAGAGATGTTTTTTGTTATTGCTGAGCAGGGCTAACACAGACATGAGACCTTTTCTGTTTTCATACCACCATGCTAGCGAGGGGACTGGGGACATTGGGACTGACAACGTGGTAACACGTGGGACAGGTGACCCCAGCTGATCAAAGGAATACTCCACACCATATGACATCATGTTCAGTGCCTGAAGCAGGGGAAGAAGGAGGAAGCAGGGGGATATTTGGATGTTTGGATGTTTGCTCTTTGCCTTCCCAAGTAACCACAGCATGTGATGAGCCCCTGGTTTCCTGGCAATGGCTGAACACCGGCCTGCCCATGGGGAGTGGTGACTAAATTCCTTGGTTTGCTCTGCTTACATGTGTGGCTTTTGCTTTCCCTATTAAACTGTCTTATATCAACCCATGAGTTTTCCAGCTTCTACCCTTCCTGTTCTTTTCCCAATCCCAGTGGGGCTTGGCTGCTGGCTGGGGTTAAACCATGGCACTTGAACAGAAACATTGGTGCCTCAGCATTACAGTACCACTCATTTACTATCTTAGCCTTGGAAGTCTTGTTCTCTGTAATGAAGATGAAGATCTTGTTATTCAAGGGGAGAATGCATGCAGGAGTTAAATATATTTTAATAATCTCAACCAAATTATCTTTATAAATGTTCACAAAATACACAAAACATTCCATGCAAAAAGACAAATCCTGATTTAATTATTCAGGAAAATTTCCTTTCTTATTTCAGACAGGGCCATAAGCACTAGATGCTGAACTGCCATTCACACAGAGAAACTGCATTAGGAAAGGCCTTTTCCTGGGGGCAATTTGTAATCTGGGCTTTCCTTTCCTTATCTGTAGGATTGGAATTTCCTATATCAGAAGTCTCAAGCATTTATTTAATTACCCAAACTAGTGCAAAGCAGCCAAACAAACAGAATTTGAAGTTAAAATAATGAACAATACTCCCAATCAAAAAATTAATCAGCCCAGACATCGTTAATCTTTTCATGCCTCCTCTGCTAACTGTTGCACGTTATTCACCAGAACTTGTAAAAATCCAAATGATGGAAATTATATTTTTAGGACTACAGATCTTCTCAAAAATCATGTGCTAATAGCTTCTTTCTGCTTGAAAGGAGATTGTAGACAGGTGAGGGCTGTTTTTTTCTCTGAAGTAACAAGGGACAGGACAAGAGGAAATGGCCTGAAGTTGCACCAGCGAGGGTTTAGATTGGCTGTTGAGAAAAATTCTTTGTTGGAAGGGTGGTCAAGCATTAGAACAGGCTGTCCAGGGAAATGGTGGAATTACCATCCCTGGAAGTGTTAAAAAATGTGTAGATGTGTGG